GAGCATCACAGTACTCGGGAAACAGTATCTTGATGAATACATGCGTTCCACGCAATGTATCGCCAGGCGGGGCGTTAAATATTAATGTGGAATCCTTGTAGAGCTCATGAGCATCTCTAAGTATAGATGCAAAATTTAGAGATTCACACCTATGCAACTCATCATCATTCAGTGGTGATGGGAAGAAACTGTGGACTTGGGCTGTGGTTCGCTGACCAGTCGTGCCGCCGGCTCCTTTCTTCACAGCTGAAGGCGTAGCCTATGTACGATGATTTGAATAGGCAGGTGCCTGGCATGGTCAATAGTCTATGAGGGCTCTCATCCGCTGGCCTTTAGTGCAGATGCATTGTTGTCAATCATAGGTGGATTGAAATTCTGCGTGGCTACAGTGATGATGCGCAAGGAAGTTTTTGAGGGTTTGTTGTAGTTGCATGTTATTCCCGCGAAGGTTAAGCTAGCAAGAGGACTTGGCCTAACTGTAGCCAGGGTCGAAGAATGGATAAGTAAAAAAAGCATATTCTTCGGTGGCTGCTTGTGGCTGAAGCGGCACTGACTCTCATCGGGCCCCAGTAAGACGCTATTACTCCCTTAGCTTGCACGCAGAGGTCACGCAGAGAAAGCTTCCAATGGGTGAATAGTAATTTTTGTTGTGTTAGTGGGAGATGAAACAATTAATCGAATCTAGCATAAAAGGCGCTTGTTTCAGGTGTTGGGGTCTGACCTAAAGGCGTACAGCAGAGTGGAAACAGACATAAATCGCAAGAATATTTTTAGAGAGCATTCGCACTAATTTCAAAGCCGCTAAAGAACCAATTTTCCTTTAAATAGGCTTGCGTGGGCTTTAAAAATCTTTAGCATGGTGTTGTTCTAGTTTGGGCTCTCCACACGCACGCAATCATCTCACATTCGAAGACCCTTGCTACCCCCATATGTTAAAGACGCCCAGAATAGCTCCAGGTCTTATGTGTAAGCGCTATTTGAAGGACCTGGTATTGTTGAGGGCTCTGGTGTGGAAACGGAGGTGTAGGGCTAGCAGAAGAAATAAATTGCGTGAAACTGAGGCGCCTGCTGAGGGTGCAGTCGGACCTTAAAGGATCCTTTGCTAATTCCTATGGACCTTAACCCTTCCTCATTTTGACGATTAAGCAGGGTGCATAGAGAAGCAGTTATTAAGGCTCCAGAGCAAGCTATAAAGACGGTTCATAAGGTATGGAACCGCCTTCTCTAAGTATGTGTTGAACTATTCATGATCGGCATAGCGTCAAAGTGACGCTATGCAACTAGTCTTATTCCAGTCACATCTAATATCACATCATTAACTCAAAAACGGGTTTTCTTAAGCCCCAGCATCGAGGGTGTAAGGCTCCATCAAAGGCGGCCTCAGGAAAAAACTGAACTTCGGACTTTATTCAAAGTAACTAGGTCGTTGAGTGTTCTAAGAAAAAGTTATTTCTTGTTTCTCTCCTCACCTCTCGAGAATTTCGACATGAGGGGAGAGACTGCTTGACTACGGATAGCTGCTGTCTAAGCGCTCTGAACTTGCAGAGCTAGGTCCACAGACCCAGCGGGCACCTGCCCCAACCATGCTTCCGGCTGCATCGAACTAGCGCTGCTCAGCAGAAAATAAGGTACAAGAACAGGCACACCAATTATCCAATTTCGCTTGTTCTAAAAACTAATTTGAATAGCGTAGTAGACAGTCGCAAAGTGTAGCTGTTCCAGCTATGGCTCTACTTCCATTTTTGAAACTCGGGCCATGCGTTCTTTTGCTGTTCTGAGACGAATTATGCACAGGACAGCGGGAAAATTCCCGCCATATTGTCATTCCACACGAAGGCAGAAACGTGAAGAACAATGTAAATAGGAAACGCAAAGAGTGCAGCCGCCCGGAAAAATAGGAATGAACACTATACACACTAGTCAACAAGCAACGAGGGGCTATACAAACACATCTGCGCGGTGGGGTACACCGCCGTCGTGTGAAATGTGCGAGCTTCCTATTACGAGACAACAAACGAGAAATAAAATGTGTAGAGGGGATCAACAACCACATCCCCTCAGCAGTTCCTCCACGCCTTACACATAAAAATGCAAAAGTACACCTGTGCACGCAGCATCGTCGCCTTTTGAGTCCCGAAAGAGGCATGAGAAAGTATGCAGAGACCTATGCCTGAGAGCTCCTAAGCACAACTCTCAATGCAGAGAGCCCGGATAGGAATAACAGAGAGCTTGCCAAGCGTTACACATAAATAAAGGTCACTATTTTTGACAGAGGATGCACTGGGTAGTAACGATTACCAGGGAACGCGAGAACCACCGTTCTGGTGACTAGCATTTTAAATTAACCAGGGCTGGAAGCCTTCCTTTCTGCAGCAAGTCCCACAATCGCTCCTCCGTTAACCACTAAGATTGGCGAGCCTCACCATGTTCTACTATGAACTTCCTCTTAGTGTGTCGTAATCGCTCATCAGTCCTCGAACCGAGCTCTCCTGCGGCTCCCTCCGTGTAGCTCACAGCACTACAACAGCATACGCTTGCCAGCGGGACTTTGAACTGCAAATATAGGGAACATGAATAGGCACTTCTCGAACTGAAAAGAGTCTATACCAATATTTTTATGAGCCTTGGACACATGTGTAGCATGTAGTCCATCCTACTGAGGCTGCGCGAGTAGAAACAAAAGGAAAGGTGATCAACATCTAAAATCTAGTTCACTATTTCACAACGTGAATATTGACCGCTCTAAGAGGATTGATGTTTCTTAGATGAGACGCAGTGTTTGGTCGTTTGGATCTCTCTACAAAGCTGCAGCTTGACTTTGCATATGCTCTATACTCTGTCTCCACTCGGGTCGCTTACCTGCCTGGCGAAATCCGCGGAATATTTGGGAAGCTTTGAGTCATGCCTCAGCAACTATTGCTTAAAGCCAGACTGGCAAAACGGTGAGGCACTACCAAGTTTAAGGATGGCAGGCCGTACTTTGATACAGAGCGGCACCATCTTTGTTTGCACATTCTGACTGCACTCCGCACAAGAAGACGCAATGTTGTGTGCGTGTGCATTAGATGTCACTAACTGTGAATGCTCAGAACGCTTAGAGGGTTCAGTCATCCGCACCGTAGGTAATCCTCTACACTCATCGAAAACTACGAGGGTCCATAGCAGGGAAAGTGAGCTCTCTTGAGAAACACTAAATAGCTTGCTATTAAGCTTGTACTTAGTCAATCGTCCCCCTGCGGCAACCTCAGATGGTGACTCACACGAAACTAGATGCACATTGCATCGAACGCACGCTCAAACGATGAGGTGTATTACTGTATCGAACTAGAAGTAATCCCCAGTATATGATGTACACGAACAACCCAAAACCTTGGTACTTCTTCATAACGCTGAGCTAAATACAACTTGCATAGTAGAAAGTGTTGGTTACGTTAGCATTGCCCGCTCCATGTTTGATTATTCTTCTAATGCGCTCTCGCCTTCCCTTGCCGGCGCTCCTCAGGGTTTCGACAGGAGGGGGGAGGACGGGCTACGGTGCGTGTTGCCGCACGCTCTTAACTCCTGGACCAATCACAGCTAGTAGCACATGACATCGAGCACAAACGTACCCAGCACTGCCTCTAATAGTAGGGCTGACAAGAGTCTGCAGTGCATAAGGCACATGAATACACAAGCCAATTGGCCAACTGTTCGCTTATTCTTGGCTAAATATAGCTAGGGTAATGGAGATTACATTAGCACTGCTTGCCCACGTTATGCATGGCACAAATGTACCCATGTCCCACACAGGATACAATCGACGAACGCTCAAATCACGCAGGCGAGCAGTAGTTAGACTTCGCCGAAAGCATGAATTCCCCACCACAAGAGTATTATTGCAGCGTAAATCTCTGCATTACCTATTTCTAGCAGGTGCTGTATGCAAAGTCGAGACGAGCCCAATGTCCCCGTCAAGCACTGAGATCTGTGAAGAAGGGAGTATCAAAGCTATACAATACTGCCCCGGACACCGGAACCTTCTATTACCAGGTCTGTTTCATGAGTCTTTCTCAGGGTGAAATGGATTGTGCACAAACGGAAAATGCAACCTACGGGCAGCCTGGTGGGCTCCTTCGTAGTAAGGGCCACTGTACATCCCTCCAGTGTAATTACATCCTACGACTCAACTGGAAAATTGTAGTAAGCGAGTTTCTGGCCCTTTCCATACCAAGAAGAAGTCAGCCAGGTCGATATATATTTCCCCCAGGAAAGGGGCTGCTGCTGCTGAAGAAGAGTAGGGGGAGGGTTATGCATGTGCTTCGTTGTTGTTGTTTGATCCATATAAAAACATTGTTAGCACGGCTATTCATTTTGGGCTTTGCATTAGGTGCATTAGAAGTACAGCGAAACACCTCTCTGCGAAGCGAGAGAAACTGCGAGAGACCCGACCTACGGAGAGCGGGTAGGCGGGCGGTGCTTTATATGCTCAAAGGTGTCTCCCCAATAAACAGATTTGAATGAAGCAGCAAATCCAGAGGCACAACCGGTTACGTGTTGTATACTCGCATTTTGTTATTTTTTCTTTCGTTATCGTTCCTGTGTGCCCACGTACCCCACTGTTCTCGTCCTTGCGTGTCGCGCATGTATTTGGTGGGACTTTTCTGCGTTTTTTCTTCTTTATGTCTACCTTCCCACAGCTATGGCACCCCTAGAAGGCTCTTCCGCCTGCTTCATATCTCTATGCAGCCCATGACTCCCTGGGCAGTATTGGCTAGCCGTTCTCGTTCGGCTGGGGCTGAACTTTGCTCTTATTAGATTCCACAGTGGAACCCCACCCCGTCATCCGACTGTGCGCAAGCGCCCTCCATATAGGTCCTGCTTCTAGGGGATCCCTGCAGATTAGTTGCACACTTTCAGAGGGGGGCCCCTGTGGCCCCTCTCGGCCAGTCTCGGCCCCTGCGTGTGGAGGGGCCTTCTTCATGGTGCGTTAGGTCGGGGGCGTGTGCTTGCGTTTCCTTGCAATGGCGATGTCGGATCTGGAGGAAGGAGGCGACATCTACACTGTGGAGAAGCTGGTGGCTTTTAGATACAATGGCCAAACACCCGAATGGCGCGTGCGTTGGCAGGGCTACGGCCCCAAAGATGATACGTGGGAGACCAAGAAGAACCTTCTTATGGACAGTTCTTTCGCCTTTAAACACCAAATGGAGCAGATGGAGAGAATGTACCTGGCTAGGAGGGCTCAGCAGAGCCGGGAAAGCAAGGCCGGGGGTCCCCAAGGGGCCTTGAGAAAAAGCAAAGGAAACGCTATGGAAAGTATCCCAGCGCAACCAGTGGCAGAGGCCCAAAGTGGATCGGAAAGCAGCAGCAAAAGCAGCACCAGCTCGTCAGAGTTCAGTTGCTCGGAACGAAGCAGCAACAGTGATAGTGGTGGCGACACGAGCAGCAGCAGCGGTGGAGAATATGCTCCTGACTCGGAGTGCCCTCCCCTTAGTCCTTTCTCCGCTTCCCGTCGCCGCATTAAGGGGGTTCCCCGAACAAAGCCTGTGAGGCAACGGCGGCGGCGCTGCATGGACAACTTGTTGCAGGGAGAGCACGCAAGAGGGGCCTCGTCAAGGGCATTCGACCGGGGTCTCCCAGCATCCCCACAGAGCAAATTCGGCTCAGAGGGTGAGGCACAGGCATGGGGTGGCAAAGTGGGGGCCCCCCCGTTGTACCATCCCCGACAGAATCTTCCAGCGGGGCCTTTCCGCGGCGTGCATCTGAAGGGGGCCCGCGGGACCGTCCCTCTCCCAGCACAGAGAGGGGCGGGTATTCAGGGGACGCCGCTAAGGCGTCTTCGACTGGCTGCTGCTGATGGGGGATCCCAGGCTGCTCCCCGTTCTGATGGCTCAGCTGCGCCCTCGAGCTCCTGGAAGTCTTCCCCCGAGATGGAGGCTGCGGGGACGTCTGGGGTACCCGCGGGTTTCACAGTCAATGAACCCAGCGATGATGACCTAAGGCCTCCTTTTCTCTCGGGGGCCCCGCTGCCTAGTGTACGGGGTTTCGATGACCCCACCCAGCATAGAATGCAGCAGTATGCGTGGGGACCCCCAGAAGGGGGCCCTCCTGTTTCTGCTTCTCTCTTTCAATGCCCCCCATCCTACAGCTCACCCCCTAGTGGAGAGCCCACAGGGGAGATCCATGCGTGGTCTGGTACAACTCCCGAAGGCGAGCGCTTTTGGCAGGATGGGGGTTGGGGGCCTCCGGCGGCTGGGGCTGTAGGGGGTCCCTGTGGCAGCCCTACGGATAGTCCTTTTAGGGATGGGCATTCTATAAGGCCTCCTTCTACCTGGGGAACCGACGGAGGCCTATATGGGCCCCTCGTCACTGGTGCAGCTGACGGCTTCCTGGGGCTCTCCGGTACAGAAGAGGGTCCCCTAGCCTCGCACGCCAAGCAAACCATGCCTCTTGTGTGTGCCAACGCTGCATCCTGTTACACCCCGCGAAGGGGGAAACCCACGGGATTGCCAGAAGGAGCACCTGGTGCCCCGTTTGGACTGGTTCACTCAACAGGAAGCACACAGCTCGCCTTAGTGGGGTGTGCACTGCCTGGGGGCCCGGCAGGGACTTCAGAGGCTCCCCCGGGGCAGCAGGATCTCGGGTGGGAAGGCCCACGGGGCCCTGCCAGTGCATCTTTGGATCCTTCGGTGTCTCCAGGACCGTTAGTGCACCAAAAGCAGCAGCAGCAGCAAACACGGCAGCAACAACAGACCCAGCAACAGCAACAGCAGCAGGTGCATGTGGCTGCCTCGTCTTCTGTAAGACCCCTAGGTCTCTCGCGGGGTTTGGCAAACAAGTATCCCTGTGAGACACTATTTCCAGGTCGAGTGCGCATCCTAAAGATTGTGCGGGGAGAAGCAGCGGGAGAGGGGGGGGGCGGTGGAGTGAGGGGGGGCCTCGTTCATTATATGATTGCCGCATCTCCTGGTGGCGCAGCGGACCCCAGCCGCACAGTATGGGGCACATGCTCCATTCCAGAGGCGAGGCGCTTCTGCCCGGGGGCCCTCTGTGACTATCTGCTGAGGAAGGCTCTGTTTAGGAATGGAGACAAGCAAACAGCAAGGGGACCCCCGCCCGTTGCTGCTGCACCTACTGGAAGATGCAGCGCTGTAACTAACACGAACATTCAACCACTGGGCGCGAACCGGAATGATGCGGCGGCGTTACAGGACACATGTAGGGGCCACAGCGGCGGTAGCTCTGCTCACATGCCGCTAGTGAAGATTTGGCCATCTACCTCGAGTCCGAATGGATACGGTGCCAGCGGCAGTTTCTAATACTGCGGTTGGCACTCACTGACTGGGGGCATGGCAGGCTAAATCCTGCTACAAAGGGCGCATATATAGCTGCGTGTCAAGGCGCTTTGGAGCTGGAGGTGTATCTTCAACAAACGCCATTCGGGGGCTGCGGGGGGGTGTCAGTGGCAGAGGGCTTTTGCCTGACTCGCCAGGTGGAAGGTACTTGGGGATCTCTCTTTTTCATGTGCTTTAGGGGCGTTCAAAAACAGGGCGGCCGAACAGAGCCATTGCGTTTCAGCCCACTGGCGGAGCCGTGTCCCAACAGACGTGCTGCCTTATTTGCGTCTAGCCAACTATATGCTGTGTCGATTACGGGCTAAAGCTACGGTGGCCTGAATACTGACAGAAAGAGTCTTAGGAAGAGGCTAGAGGGCCAAAGTTGGGGTAATTGCGCACAACCAGCAATATATGCACACCGAAGCGAAGTGGAAGAGGGTGAGTACTGGGGTAAGAGACAGTCATGTAGGTATAAGTACTGGCGTGTCTGTTGGTAGAAATACACATTAACATGCTACCCACTGCCCCCTATTTGGAGCGGCTCCTCTCGCGCTGCCAATAAGAGGCTGGAGAGCGTACTGCCCCCCCTGGCAGCACATTGTTCCTTTTGGGAACAAACGCTTTTTCCACTGACCAGCTAGCTGTATAGCTAGCTGCGTAAAGCAGATGGCTGCAATGACAGCTTGGCAGGAAAAAAAGCGGCTGACCAGGCACGCCGGCAATCTAATAGCCTACCAAAAGGGCGACCAGCCAAAACAAGGGTACAACATCCAAAGAGATAGATGGATGATGGCCGGTGGAATGAGTCTCATTCGTTTAAAGCGCTGCGAGAATCTTACAGTGAGAGTGAAGCCATGGGGTCCAGAGTTACCCACAGACAATGGAACAGGGGACAGCGCGGAGAATACCTAAGCTAGTTGAGGACACCGATTAAGAAAGGCAAGGAGAAACGAAGAGAAGGGAGAGACAAGCTTTTAACAAAATTTCCTCCTAGTCTTACTTGCGTTTGAAAACGAGAACCAACGAAGGCGCTGGCAGACGGAGACGCAGAGAGGCATGCTGAGGGCCAGAATGTGGGAAAAAACGACAAAGGTCAAAGAGTCAGGGCATTGCGTGTAAAATTCGCGTCAGTGGAGGCCCCTCGTTATTTTGATAAAAATGCAGCAGCCAATCCACATTGCATTGTTGCTTTGCTGGAAAAGTTCTGGCTTCAAGAGGAGAAGCGCCCTACGGCGCAGTTTCCTCGGATGTATGTGCACCTGAAGTCACTGCCCCATTGCTGCTTTGTGAGCCTGTCAATAAGTGTTGACGGCATTTCAAGCGCTCCTCCTGTTTCCATGCTTTGCCATTGTCTACCTTCTTTGCTCACTTCCACCACAACCTCCCCGACAAAAATTCATTAGGAAGGACGCAAAGAGGCAGACGAGAGTAGGAAGCTGTGCTGCAGTACGGCAAGAAAAAGAGTGAGGTGGAGCGGGTCGCGTGAGGGCGGGCCGAAATGTTAAGAAGCTGTAGAAAGAGAGCTGCTGGCTAAAGGACAATTTTAGTCCTCGTACTTCTCCACGCAGGTAGCCCTTTCGAGATCTACCCACACAGAACAAAAGCAAAGGCCCCACCATTGCTGCATTCATCTTCCGCAAGCAATACGTGGATAAAGCAACAAAGTAAGTACAGAAAGCAATAGCAGCAGCACCAACATCAGCAAGAAGAAGAGGAGTGCCAGCAGCAAGAACACAAGCATCGTTAGGAGCTGAAGGGGCAGATATCAGCATGTGCGTCATGTGTGTGGGACATGTTGTAACCGTGGCTGGGCACTGAAAACGCGTAGATTGCAGCTTACCTCTCAAGGGCACTTGTTGCATCCAGAAAAAAATTCTCTCTGCGCCTCCCCCAAAAAAAGGTCCCGAAAGACCGTTATGCCAACAGTGGTCCCCGGCAGTGTTGCTGCGGAGGGTGGGGCAGCCAGACGGACTATGCAAGAGACAGATGGACGGAGAGCCTAGCACTGAGCCCAATCCTACGCCGCCGGCCGATGTCACAAGCACTGGACGCGCCAGAGGATGTACAGACATCCCAGAGAAAGGTTCCCCAGAATCATGAGCAGCTGTACAGTGGCACATGCATGGTGAATGCTGGCAATGCCCGTGATGCTGATGTGGGTGGACAGTAAGTATTCCATTGTCGTAATGAAGGGGCCGTGAAGATAAGGGGATGAGGGTCTGTGGCCCCTGGATGGCCTTTCCAGGCTCCACTGAGCACTGCGCAAAGCAGTGTGCAGGTTTATACGAATCCCCGGGGTTGTGAGGCGGCTTAGGAAGAAGAGGGACTCCCAAGGGAGGCCCATAGCGTGAAGTAGCGCAGGGGAACGGCTGGTGCACGGGTGGGCCCAAGGGCCATGAAGGGTAATCTGTAGGGCCAATGTCGTCTACAGATTGGGCTGGAGAGTTTTGTAGGCACCATACCGGCGTCAAAGACCCAGGCGTACCGAAGCAGGTGTCCCCCGACAACTTCTGTGGACCCCTGCTCCTGCTTAGTGGGGGACCACAGGGAACGCCAAAACAAGACCTTGAAGATGAAGCCTCCAACATCTGAAGGGAGAGATGAATGTCCCGCCATATATGTGCACTGGCATGCTGTAGCACTTGCTGCTGTGAAGACAGTTCTGACTGCTGAAAGGATGTGCTCCCTTGTTCCTGGTCCTGCTGAATACTTGCATCTTGCTGATGCTGTTTCTCCTCGTCATGTTGCTGCTTAGGGCACTTGCGCAATCCTCCTGTCTTCTTTCGGTGATGACTTGCGCTTGTAGCTACCCCGTTTATCATTGCATCTCCTTCCAGCTTTTGATCCTCCAGTAACTGCTGCTGCTGCACAGCACGCTGCTCCGGTGCAGCTTCAGGGCTTTCCTCTTGGCTCGTACTAATGTTGACCTTCTGTCGTAAAACAGTCGCGTGTTTAACTGTGGAACGCTCCCGGGCGCTATCTGGACATGTTTCTCCGGAGTCTCCTGTCTTTTTGCCACGTGAAAGATTCCTAGGTTGATCTGAGATGTATAGGAGCCTCCCCAATTCGGCTTGATTCTCACTATTAGCTGCAACATAAGCAGTCTGCCTCTGCCCCTCTAGCGAGGCCCCGTTCACTGCTCCTTCCTCTTCCTCAGTGCCTGTGGTGGTTTCCTTAGATGCGGTTCCCTGCGACTGGCTTCCCAAGAACAGAGCGATGTTTCTCCTGCCTAGCTGCCTGAACCAGCATATGCAAGAGACAAAAATGAACACACTTAGACCCCCCTTGCCCCGCTTTAGCAAGTACACGTGCCACTTCTCCCGACGAGTGGCTGCTTTTGGCAAGCTAGCTAGGTGATTGTGTCCCATCAGCACCGTATGACTATATGGGGCAAGCTCAGCTGACAGGCAAGCAATAGGTGAATATTGCTGCTATGGGCGGATCTGCTATCGAGCTGAGTAAATAAAAAGCCACTACTAGTCTTGTGACCCTTAAACACTGTTACCCCAGGGGTCAATGTAAAGCTACGTATGTATGTCGGCGCGCAAAAAATTCATGTAAGTTGCTGAGAAATCACTGCCCGCTGTACTTGTGCATACGCAGATACCTAGCTAAAAGCGGATATGTGGAACGAAACGAAAAGGGAAAGTGAAGAAAGCTATGAGAATACAATGCAAGTGAGGGAGAAAACCCCTAGTCATAGGTCTGTCACCTGGCTGATCAAGGTTGTTTGCTGCATAGAATTTACACTATTGAAACACACAACAGGCAGCAGAAGCAAAGGCGAATAGACTACGGACAGATATATCCTTGTGAGTAAACCGCTCTCACGTCTTAGGTCGAAGCTCCTCGACGCCATGTGCGTGGCGGCAGACCTCTCCATATGGACAACTTCCCGCAAGCGACAGCTGACAGAGTTCGGTCTGAGAAAATCATAAAAGTAGAGACATTAGAAGCTGCTGACGGAAACAGCCCAAAGGGTGCTCGTGACCTTGTAACCGAGGTCCCAAGGATAGGCAAGAACCACGAAATACCACCACAAGAATAAATAAAGATAAGACGGACTCGGCACGGCAATCAAGCACAGAATAATGCAACAGAGGAAGACCCAAAAGGCACCATCGCCCGGTAAAAGGGATGCGAGGTTTAATGCCCCACAGTGAAATAGCAGAAAACAGCAGAGGGAAGCGAGACGAGACGGAGAAAAAGGACACAAACCGTAAAGGGAGAGAAAGACACACATAAGGCGGGTGAGGAGAAACACAGATATTGAACAAGAAGCAGCCTGAGAAATATACAGCAAATGACTGACAGACTGACAGGGCAACACAAGTGGAGCAAAACAGCGGAAATGTGGCCACCCTGCCTTATAGTATCCGGTAGTGTGTCTAAGCTCCTGAGCTCCGTGAGCAAAGTTGCACTCCTCGTTGATGCATTCTCCCTGAGATACGAATCGCAAGCATGACCCGCATAAACCCCGATTGACGCGATGGCTGTAATATCAAACGTTCCGGGGCTTCCCCTAGAGTGGACTGTTTAGAGGCCATCCACGCAAGGACCTAAAGGCAGAGCCGCTCGCATAAGGAAAAAGGTTTTGAAAGACGAATAGGCAAAGTGAGTGACTCCGATTATACTTGGTGACTGTGTCTGTTTCCTTCTAATTGTATTGGAAATACAAAAGTGCCTTGTAGTTGTTCTACTGCCATTTTAGTTCATCAAAATACAGCGCGACAACCGACCCGCTTAAAGGCGTCACAGAGTTTCGTCTTGTACAAAGAAAGCCATGGCCTCAGCTGCCCAGGACTATGTGCATAATTACACAGATCACCGTGGCGGCAGCACCCCTCAGCCATCCAAGGGCACATCTTAATCCTGTGCAGTAATCCATTCTAGCATGGAGCGAATAAGTCTGATATTGCCTCATATTTATAACAGGGCGATCTAAACCGTACGTCGGCAGATTCTCCTACAAAGACGAACAGTGGGGCCTTCAGTTTTCCCATCCCAACGAAGGGCGGCCAGGTGGGTGGTAATCCCAGGAATGCCCAAATTGAGCTACAATGCAAGACCGCGAAGAAGCGCAAATCCAACATACACCGAGAATCCTAGTTTATCCTTCAGGGCTTACCTAAAGAATCGATCCCAAGGCAAGCGCACACCACCTTTGCCTACCCCCATGGGCTTTCGCTGTGGCGTAGACTTCGTCTTCTCTTCCGCCTGTGCAAGCCGACGTTGGGAAGACAGCTCCTTTCGGGCATCCTTGAAGGCCCCAGACTCCTTAGGAGGTACATGTGAAGTAGTAAGCTCCATCTCCAGCTGGGGAAAGAGGTGGCCTGGGCTTTTTGGCTAGCTGGCTGGGGGGTAGCCGACTGCTGCTGGGGAAGCGCCCAGTATTCAGGGGTTTAAGTGAAATCCATCAATTATTCGCCTTATAAATAGTAAGTGACGACCTTAGAAGCTATTCGTTTGGGTGAAAGATCAGCAGATGCTCTCTTGTAGTGGCCAATAGCGTTGAGCCGCCAGTGGAGGGGTAGACAGGAAGAAAAGCTGCTACACCCGCAGAGGAATCAATCCCTAAAACGTGAAAAGGAATCGAAAAATGAGTGAAGCCCTAGCAAGGGGGGAAAAGAACTAGCTGAGCTTTCGAGGTCGGGGAGACCAGTAGGAGCGACCACTCACTATTCAAGTTCAACGTGCTTTCGCTTTCTAGACGCATGGATATCTGGATGCTTAGATCAGAACATTTCCTCTTCTTGCCTGATGCGCAATAATGAAGGACTTCTGAACACGAAGCGGGGCAAGGCAACGTCAGGTAGAAGCACTACGAGCAGCGTCCCGCTCCCCCCTCCCCCACGAGACTGTTGCCCAGGCTCACAGGCAAGCACGGGGCGTTACAGTGGAGTTAATCCTCAATAGAAGTGCTGTTTGGCAGATAATGGCAAAGTGCTGCGGTTAAATTGAGCAGAAGCGGGTATTAAGCCCTAGAGACCGAAAGACAGCCGCCCTGCACAAGACTCTAGGTGGACATGCGAAAACAGCCGAGTGGGGTTCTGTCGATTCGGGTGCGCAAGCTGTCTTCCTTTTCGGAGGTTTTTCGTCGTGTAAGCAGTTTTTTTCGATATACGTAACTATAGATATTCAAATCCCTGACGTCTTGTAATTCTTGCCCGAGGAAAGTCATACAACTCCTACTTCGCGTAAGATGTGCCAGTGGCCTCCCCACTGTCCACACAGATGGTACGCGCATGGCCATCCTATTGAGGCTGCGGATCGGAGCATATATCATGTTAGCGGAGGTTCCCCTTTAGTGTACTACAATATCTATTAAGCACAGCGTATCCAGGGCTACGATGCGACGTAAAACCCGCACTAGTCCCTGTCCCGTCCACGCTCACCACGCCATGCTGTGTCTCTTAAGCTTTACCCTTCCCATTCACAGTGACATTTGCTATCCGTCTAGCATAGATAGAGCTGGAAGATCAAAGAAAAAGTAGCCATATCTGCCGCAGGCTGTTGTTGATTCATTCCTAATACAAAAAACTCATCTGCACTGCGGTGCATGCGCCTGCTAGTTCCATGCCACGACCTCGACCTCCCCATGTCTTCGGGAGCTGGGGTACAACATTGCATAAAGCTCTTCTTTCCTTCTAGATGTTGACGCTATGGAATGAACGCAGTACAACGAATACAATCACGACTTCCTTCGGGGCATGAGCTGGAAGACTCAACCTGTATTTTTGCGTTCCGAACACTTAATCAGACAGCAGCTTAACAATAGAGCGAAAATGTAACTGAACAAAATGTGGTTCGATATACTCGGAAAGCTCCAAGCTGTAGTAATAACAACTCCAATAAGGGTGGAACCCGAGGGATGCTTAGCTCTCCACCTCCCCTGATGGCTACGACAAGGCCTTCAAGGCTGCGAACCTTGCTGCATACTCTAAAAAGCTATTCAGTCCCACACTACTAACAAAGGTTTTGCTCGGGTGTCTTACAACACCATGTATGAATGCCTCTATTGTGCTCAAAACTTGGGGCTACCTGCAGCAGGCTGGCACCTTATGGACGGAGGGTAGAGGAACAGTAAAGATTCCTTGAAGAAAGGTAAAACTGACCTAAATCTTGTGTGCATTCGAGCTAAGGGCCTGATTGCAGACCTAGGAGGAGTTTCACTCTTGTGGAAAAAGCCATAACAAGCTCAGGACAGCCAGGCCCAACCACCCCACCTGTAAATTTACTACTGAGCACCAGAAGAGAAGCCTCTCGGGCCACAAGGGGCCTATGTTATGGATCGCCTTCATAAACCCGGGCAAAGAAGCGAATGTTTCTGCTCGATGGAGTGCTGCTCGCAGGGTTTCTCAGACTACCTCATTGAATCGTTGCAGAGGCAGCGCCGTGTAGGCATTTCTGCTATGCAGATCCTTGTGTGAACTTTGCTGTTAAGGGTGTCTTTGTTCCGGGTCCTTTGTAACAATGAACTCCTTTTCCGCTATGCCGCTAGCATGCGAACTGCGGAGAGTCAATTAGTGCTCTGCGACCCCGTTACTGCCCTAAGTCTCGCTGCCACACATCTATCGTCCTGCCTGCCTGCCTCTCTTTCTCATTCGACAGCCGGTATTCCCCTCAGGCAGAAGCCTGTTTAGAAGTCTTCATTTCTCGCTTACCCGCTGCCTACCCAACACAATGGTGCACTAAGGTATAGAGACACAGGCGAGAAAATATATGACCGCACACTAAGACCCAGAGCATGTAGATAAGCACAAGCAATTATATGCAAAATTTCAACTAGATGCATCCTGACCCGAAAACCAGCTTATTGATTATCAAACCTTCAATCCATCTCACACAGGGCTGCTTGCTGCAGCATCAGCAGCAGCAGCCACCGCAACGAGCGAGGCCCTGAACGGCTTTCTCGCTCATCAGCACCTTCGTGGTACAAGACCCTTCCACAATGGGCCGCTGCTCGTTGTATCTACATGGGCCTCTGCTGCTTCGAGAGCCTTGGGAGGCCTAGGCGGGCTTGAAGAAGACGCGGATGTCATGTAGTTTAGTGTTGCTTCCACCAAGTGGCGCCGCTCTCTGAGCAAAGAGACACAGGTTCAGCTAGACGCATATCAGGGAGGAGCAGTGTCGGGCAGCAGACAAGTGTGTGCTGCAGCACAGAGAACAGCGAGCGGGATCGACAGAAAGAGAAACTTAAGGCCAGACTAAGGCAGAGCGACTGGCAAGGAGTGAGACGGAGAAGCACACATATGGATCTGGAGGCTAGCACAAACAGCGACATAGTGACAGCATGGAAATGCATCCATCGGGCGAAGGCTACAGATCGGCACTTTGGGCAGCTCCTTTGCCCTTCCTCTGAAGGTCCTCACAGTGCGCGGAGTTGCTGAGGCGCTGCAGCACAAACTTCTCGATGAAGCGAGGGCTTGCGGTTGAGAGGGGACACCCCTTGTCAGGCCTCCTGGTATCCCCCTCATGGACGTGTGGGGTGTTGACCATCCAAGTCGGAGTGAAAAAGAGGCACCCTGCACCGCCGAAGGGGTTGAAGGCATACCAGGAGAAAGGGATCCACTAACGACGTCGTCCGTGCTGCTGCTGCTGCTACTGCTACTGCTGCTGCTGCTGCTACTGTTGCTGCTGCTGCTGCTGCTGTTGCTGGTGGAGTCCGCTGAAGGAACGGGGGGAGTTGATGGGGGATATACTGGCTGCAGCAAGACGTTTAGGGCGGCCTTGGGGTCGTCTTCATAGGATTCGCCTTCTCCCAAGTCAAAAACCTCGGGTTGCTGCATCTCATTCTCCCTTGCGCTGTTGTTGCCCTTGGGGGAGCTGTTGTTGCTGTGGCTGAAGGTGTGAATGTAACCGGCCGTTCCACAGCGAGCATCAGCCGCGGGAGCAGTCTGGCGCGCACTCTGTCGCAGGGCACCTGCTGCATTTAATTCTCTTTCGATCGGAGCAGCACTCGGTACTGGTGGGAGTGAGGTTACCGTTGGTGCTGCCTCACGGTGAAAGGAAAGGCAATCTGCAATTCTTAGCATCCGGGGGTCTGAGAAATCCTGCGACTCATTGCTGCTGATGCTGAATGCCTCAGGCGCAGTGTGCTGCTGCAACTGCTGTGGCTGCTGCTGTTGCGCCTCTGTTTGTAGACGAAGCTCCGCTGGGCCATTGTGGGTTGCTGCTGGTGGTGTTTCTGCGGTGCGCGCAGGGGGTGGTACTGCAGCAGCAGCAACCCCACCACTACCACTCGCTGCGAGTACGGCCTGCGATACCGACGAGCCGGTGGGTTGTTCCTTGGGGCCCTTTTTGGGAGGTCTTATTGAGGACCTGACACCGGATTCAAGAACTGTAGAGCGAAGTAGCGTACGCTGCTGCTGCTGCTGCTGCTGCTGCTGCTGGAACAGCCCTCTTAGTGTGCGCAGGGATTCGGAGCTACGCAGGCTTTCCAATTCGTCTTCCTCATCCTCCGATTCGACGGAGATAGTATGAGCTGCTGTATTTGTTGCTCTTTCTCCCGAGGGTCGCTCTTCTGGCATCTCGGACCGCGATGTAAGGGCGTCCAAAGGCGGACGGCGTTTCCTGCGGAGCGATGCCGTTGCGGCTGCTGCGGTGATCGATGTGGGTGTCCTCTCCGCTGAGCTATCCGCAGGAATAGTCGAAGGGGCGGAGTTGGCTTTCAATCGAGGGCTTGAGGAGCTGCAACATTGCACGCACCATCCAGCGAAGGGGCCGCGGTGTTGAGACCATTTGCGATCTCAGGAGCACGACTATGCGTTGCCGTGAAAGCGAAAGACAATGCATTGATTCCCTTTCTTACCCGCATCTGCAGGAGTCTTGCAGGGCTTCTAATGCCTTGCGCAGTCTGCGGAGTCCACGCATGCAACAGAGCTCTTTCAGGAAAATGAACAGGTCGAACTGGAATTTTTCTTTCGGTTCCCAGAACTGCGGGGATCTCTTAAAAGCAGCATCCTCAGCAAGCTCTATGGCTTGTGCTGAGTCATCACGGATAAGGGTCTAGAAGAAGAGATAAGTGTCATGATGCATTCGGGATTTTGGGTGTATGGCTTGGAAGATACTCGTGAAGGCGCTTCTTCGCAGTCCATTCTTGCCGCAGCTTTTCCTTTTTGAGCCTCTCTTTGTCCCTGCAACAAACCAGCAATAAAGGGTAAAAATGAAAGACCGTTATAGATGCAGCAACGAGAGCAACAGCCGCAGCATCGACAGCACCACCTGAACAAAAAAGGGAGCCTACCTTTGCAGGACTGTCATGGCTCTATGCAGGGTCAGCACGGCGTCTTCCAATCTGCCCCACTGAGCAGTGGCAGCAACACACCAGCACACAGCTCAGCTGCACTAAACGTCGAGGAAACAGAGACCCTCAACGTTTTTGCCGGGAGCACACGGAAATCAGCATAAGGGACCCTTTCAGCAGCGCAGTTGGCTGGCACGCGGACCGATCTAAAGTCATTAAGCAGCAGCTGAGCTCGATCCTCAGGAGGCGCATCTCCGATCAACCTGAAGCAACCTCACCATACGGGCCGTACGACTATAAAGAATGATGGCTTATGCATGCAGGTGCATCAAACTGATGCACGAGTTGTGTGCAGCGGCAGCAGCAGCCACTGAATCAGCAGCACCCCAAGCTCTAATAGAAGCAGCATCAACACTACCACCCGCAGGTCTTATCAGCGTGAAGTACACAGTCCGCATCACTGGCAGCAGCCGCAGCAAGACGTGCCCTTTGAGTGTCTTCTCAAGAGCCGTTTGCTGTTGTCTTGCCAATTCTAACTGTCCAAGGGCCTTCCTTGTTTTGGCTTGCTCGACTACCAGCTGTCTGAGGGTTTGCTGCAGCTCTTTCTCCGCTGTTGACGCTGCCGATGCTGCTGCTGCTCTCTCTTTGGCCGTTTCCGCAGCACACCGCTTCTCCACCGCCTCGATTTCCCCTGCGTGAGCTCTGACCGCGGCTTCCAGCTCTTCCAAACGTGTCTGTAGCGGCGGCAGCAGCAACACACCAACAAGTGCTGCAGCGCGAGCGAGACACAAGGAGGGACAGCAGGAGACACGCCAACAGCAGAAGCAAGAGCTTACCTCGAGGGCTTGCTTCTCTTTGCGAACTATCATGAGCTCCCCCTGAGGCAGTCGCAGCGAACGTCTAGGCTGTACAACGTAGTGCCAAATCCCTAAAGCCAAAGCGATTCCTTCCTTTTTTAAAAAGCCGAGATTCCTAACGCCTACCCTCAGCTTTTCCAAGAGAGGCTCGGGTTCTTGAGAAGGGAAAGTTTCTGCTCAGTCAAGACACAGGACAAACCCTAAAGCCCCAATGTGTAGATCCCACCCACTCCCGTTCGTCTTTATTGGAAGCCCTAAGCCTCCGTCAAGAACTATCCTCAAGAAAGCACTTCCTAAGCAGTAGGCAAACTGTCACATCGTGCATGCCCTTGCCTGCATGCGCCGAACTCCACATAAAGCGAAGCTTCAAACGGGGCCCGCAAGTCTTCCTGCAGATAGGGCATCCTCCCTTGCTGCCGTGCCCGCTGCTGGCTAGCCACTGATCCACGCTGTAGAGACACTTCACACGCAAGCATCACGGCCTATGTGAGCCCCCCGACAAGAGTGCGCGTCAGCCCACGGCAGCGGAGGGGGATCTCGATACATCGGAGAGGCCACAAGTGCCTGTAGGTTACTGTGGAAGGAGCCCGAGGTACATGCACATATTTGACGCTCTAAGAGCAGCACCTCAGAGCCGCCAGCCCGTCCTCGAGGCAAAGAAAGGCACAAAAGAGAGTTTTGAGGGCCCCTAGGGGAGTTCTCAGGAGTTGTAAGAAGCACGCAACATCCTCCCCCGTCCACGTGCCTAGAGGCCCCTCTCTTTGAATGCTGGCATACCACTTGAGGTGGAAGACGTGTCCACAGGAGACAGCAGCGAGGTCTGTAGTGGCCGGCTCAAAGCAAATCGAGCAGTCAGGAGGCTGAATTTCTCCCATTGGTGCTGGTGCTGCGGGAGCCGCCGACGCTAGTGACGAGGCTATTACTGGGGCGGCAGCGGGCCCTTTCGATGCAGCTGGTCTGCTCAACAGACGCTGCTGATGGTGGTGCTCTACAGCTGTTGCTGCTGTGACGGCCGCTGCTGTTGCTGCATTGCAAACTGCTTATGCATGTGCAGCGGCGGCTACTGCAACATACGTACAAGGGCCCCTTCCGCCGCGTCACCGGTCAGGGGCCCCCAAGGGCCTCAGAACTGTCCCCTTATGCCGATTATGGGGGCATCTGAAGGCACAGGCATGGTGGGGGGGAGTGGGGGTCTTCCGGGGCCCCCCAGTGATGTCTTAAGGGTTTAAAGGCCGGCAAGGCAGGGAAAGTGTCTCAAAAACGAGGAAGCGTTCATTTGCACATGACACTATTGCAATCAGAAACAAAGATGATAACGCCTAGAGAACAGGGAATTTCAATATGTATACTGCAGGGGTTCCACGAACACCGGGGTGGGTGGGATGGGGCCCCTCACTACAGCTGGGACTACACAACAGTGGCACTAGGTTGCCTTGCTTGCATGAGGAAAGCAGAATAAACCATATGGGGAGTGGAATTTCGAATAATAAACTCAAAGACTACCATTCTTTGCTTTGAAGCCCGAAATTACCGCTGACGTCTCCTTCGGTGGTTTGATAGGGGCCCTGTTGCAGTCGTCTGTGGGGCCCCTCACAAATGGCCCTGCAGGGGTCATCAACCCACACTCAACGGCACTTTGCTGAATGTTATACCGTCATGAAGTCTGATTCCTCTCCCTCTCAGAGGAGAATACAATCAGAGTGCTCGGCAAGGCAATTTCTCTTGGTGCGAGTGTGACACACAGGAATGCGGAGCTTTCTGCGTTTCGGTCTGGAATTCTTCGAAGCCAGCGAACACACGGCGGCGCACTCATGTTGTAGCAGCGTCGGCTGCTGCAGCAGCTACTGCAGCAGTGCGTCTCAAGCGCAATGAGTTGGTACTTCAGATGTCTGCTGCAGGCGCTGCATCCCGTCCAGCTGGCACCGCTTTTGCTCTTCCTGTGTGCGCTCTGCTGCTTTTGCCTATTTAGCAGTAGCTATGCTGTGCAAATACTGCAGCAGAGTCAGCAGCAGCAGCTATGTCATAGTCTCGGACCCTGGGCTGCAAAGCCTCAGCGCTTTGTGCCACAGGGGTTTCTGAGTCTTTCAGCAGCAGCAGCACCAAAAGTTACGCTAACCTCGTCCAATCCGCCGAGAAGACACTGTTCTTATCACCAGAGACCCCGCAGGCCCTTACTTGCTACTTCAGGAACAACAGTTGGAATCGCAGCTGCTGGTTCGGCAAATACTGCAACTACTGACTCTTTGCCTATATGCCCCCAAGAAGAGGACAGTTCAAAGCAGCATGTGAAGGTTTCTGCATCAGAAGCTGCAGCAGTGGCAGCAAAAGCTGCAGAAGACTCTAAGACGGCCTTCGTGTTAGATGCTTCAGTTTTTGGTGGTGCAAGTCCTTTTGCTGCGCAGCCCCTTGGCTATCAGGACGTAATGCGTGGATATGACAGGTGCTCTTCGGATGCCGTTGCGCCATTTGCTCATGCTGCTGCTGCTCCTGCCACATTGAAGGCGTCATACCTTGGGTGGTACTGCTGCCCGATCCTGCCAATAAATATGTATTTAAACATGTCTTACTTGTGTGGCTGCTGCTGCGCCTGCACCTCGGCAGGTCACTCGCTCTTCCCTTCAAAGCTCCAGATGCAGGACGAGCCCCTCTGAAAAGCCCCCCCGCGGATCCTGTAGACTTCCTTCTGAATCTGAGGAAGAGCAACAGCAGCAGCAGCAGCAGCAGCAGCAGCAGCATTTCCACCAGTGAAAGTGCTGAAAGCAGCGCCAGCGCGGCAGCGACAGCAGGACGCGGAACTGAAGCACTGCCACCAACAGATACGGACATGCGCATATTCTCCAGCTTTGACTATGAGACCTATTTTGGACCTGGTGTGCGCTACGAGCCAATACGGGACGGCTTTTTGGTGTTTCCACCCCTCTATCCAGATCGCGTCTTCATCCTCCAGGCTTCCGAGCACCCCCTGCTGCAGCAGCAGAGGCAGCAGCAACAACAGGAGGAGGAACCTGGGCCGGAGTGGCTTCGCGTGACCCCCGACGCAAAAGTTAAAAGAGCTGCCGCTGCTCTTGCTGGAGCTGACGGCTATGGGGCCCCCGAGTTCGAGCTAGGGGGCCCCCATGGAGCCACTGGAGCCCCCGGACTTATCCCAGAAAGGTCCCCCTCCTACGTGAACCCTAGAAACCCCTTCCTGAGGACTGGAAGGCTCATGGAATACGAGCGAAGAGAAGCCGACTCGGGTAAATTCGTGTGCACTGACTGGTGCCTCCAGCTACTATAGACATGCTGCAATCACCGACCTTCCGCATGTTCCCTTGACGCCACCGCGATTATTGTGGCTGCTGCTGCCGGATTTGTCCTCTCGCGTTTGATTGTTTCAGGGCCTCAGCAGCGCCAGAAGTGGGGTATGGACGACGTGAAGGGCGATATACCCAGGGGCCCCCAGGGGGCCCCAAATGACCGCTTCAAGGTTCGAGCAACATTTTCACAGTGGCTGTTTCTGCAGCTGCACAGAAGCTGCTGTCGCCGAAACTTTCGGGAGGCTGCTTGTGGTGTTGTTGCTGCTGCTGTACAGGAGTTGGTGGATTCAGTGGACTGGACTCGCGAGCACCCGACCCTTGTGGACAAGAACCACTACAAGAGGTTTGTTGGCAGCAGAAGCAGTAGCAGCAGCCACTGCTGCTGCTCTTTCTCAGTCTGCCTCCTAGTATTTGCACGAAAAAGGCTAGGAGGCTTTCATCGTCTGCTGCTCTACATGTACTGGAGCCCGAAATCTTATAGCGACTGGGTGTCAAACAGCCGGCGCGCCTGTGCTCTTTTTTCTTTGACTTGCTCTCCTCCAGCTAAGGCGCTCGGAGCCTGACTGTCTAGCTCCTCACATGGTTCTTCATAAATAAGTGGACCTTTGGGAGGGCTGGGCAGCCTTTGGGATGGCTACCTGGAGGCGTTGCGGCGCCCAGCTGCTTTGCCCCTACGATTGTCTCCCTCTGCGGCTTCTCATCTTTGTTTCAGACGTGCGATTACTGGAGTCGATGCAGGTGAATGTGCAAATATCGCAGTATATGGATATATATATATATGCTGGGAGGCAATCTTGCTCTGTGCTTCGCGTGTAGGTCCTTTTTGGAAACGGGGATAGGGGATCCAAACCGCAACACCGACAGTTACTTCGATCCTCAGTTCTTCGGAGCTGTTGAAGGGCCCCCGTATGCTGCGGATGCTGGATCTTCCTTTTCATGGGCCCTCTACTGGGTCCCCTGGCTGGCGAAGAAGCACATCAGGGGCGGTCAACCCATCAAAAGTGATTGCTTCTCCCTTGGCGGCATTGACCCCCTTCAGGTCAGCTCGCAAGGCGCACAACATGCTAAGTTATGGGCGCACAGCTTTCGGGGAGAAAGGGGGAAGAGGAGAAAGGCGCAGGTGTGAGGCCTTGGCCGTAGGCGTACACGACAGGGCAGGGCTGTGGTGTATCGGTGAATCCCGAACGTGTCTTGGCTGCCGTTGTATAAATGATTTCTTGCGCGCCTCCTCACGGGTGCTTCTCCTAGAGATGCTGCTATTGAGCTGCTTTCCCTGTTGTTTCTGCTGTATCTGCAGCTTTGGTTTTACCCAGATGGAACCCCTGAGTCGCTCCCTGGATTTTGTTCGCTAAAACTCATCACCAGGCCTGGGTGGCACCTGCCATTCCCCGTCACCTTCTGGGTGCAGGGTGCCCCTGCCCTGCCTCACTTCCAGCGCCAGAAGCGACAAGAATGGCGGCAGCAAGAGCATCAGCAGCACAAGAGGGCCCAAAGCCGCAGAACAACCTCCAAAGGATCCCACAAAACACAGCCTGTCGCTCCCCACCATGACCTCTCGAGGCCCTCCAGAGTCTCGGTGGGGCCGATCTGGAGGGAGACTGCGGAATGTGTTGCATACTGCAGCAGCTTCTGCAGGTTCGTCCGTGTCAAACACGCTTTCACGAGCTCCTTCTCGTTTGTACCTCAGCTCTTGAAGAGCTGCACCGACACTGTCCTTCCCACACACCCCGTAGTAGCTCAGCAGCTGGGGGAAAGTACGCCTTGTCATAACCCGTCTTTTGTTGGCCTTTCGGGCGGTCTGCGTTCATCCAGAAAATGCCCGCAGGTTGCCATTCCTTGCAAATCTGCCATGCCCTGTGTATGCAGACTCCTCGACAAGGGGAGCTACCAGGTGTCTATGAGCCCTCCTCCTCTGCCGCCCTCAGAACTCCCTTCTGAAGCTGTTGCAATACATTTCAATCCGGAGACGGATGTCGTTTTAGACGCCTTTGGAGGGGTGCAAGTGGGCGTCGCCGTAGGAGATCAGGAATGGGAGTGGGACGGAGGTGCCGTGGACTATGAGCAGTGGCTAAAGAGGCAAAGCGCATATCCTGACGATAATGAGCTTGAGCAAACACTGCCCCCAGAGTCAGCCACTCCACAGCCGCCCCTCAACCCCCCCTTTATTTCTCCCCCCTCCCTGCTTGTGCCTCATTCTCTGCCTGTGTCTTGCTCCTTCTGAGTCAATCGCTCTCTGCTCCGTCAATCATCGTTTTCATTCCCTTCTCGTAAGGCATATCCGTCCTCGCAGAAATCCAGACACCGTGGTAGCCTATCTCTTGCAGCAGCCTCCGCCCTTTCACTCTCCCAAGACCAGCAAAGATGGCACTGCTGGGGACACACGCAAGGAAACTGACTACTGAAAGAGACTTATAGAGTGGCAGACGAAATACAAGCGTGCATCAACATTCCACTATCACCATGGGCAAGCAGCGGAAGCAGCCAAGACCGGCGGGCCTTTTAGGCCTTTTCTTCGTGTGCTATCCTTTGCTTGAGAAAAACCTTTTCATGTCTTCCTTGCTGCTCCCCCCATTCTGCCCTTTCCCTGTCTCCCTACCGCTCTGTTTTTTCTGTGCGTACTCATTCGTAGTAAAAAAGATCGCCAGTTTGCACATAGCCAGTAAGTACACCCCTGAAAGGCGTTAGGTCCGTTGCTTGTGTGTGTACGTATCTGTGTGTGTGTATGTGCTTCATCTACTGTTTGTATCTTCAGCTTCACTCACAGTCCCCACTACGAAAATTTCAAATATGCAGACGTTCCCGATAAACACTTTTCTCGCTATTTGCCGGCTGCACTCCCCCCAGCAATCACAGGAGAGAGGCTCGAGGCTGCACTCATGAGGCCTGGGAACCCTTACTAACGACGGACTCACGATGGTAGGGAAGAAAGGAAGACAAGCAAAAGGGGGTCAAGAATGAAATGAGCACAAAGCCCTAGAGCAACAGGCGCGAAGATTGACATTTTATGTGTCTTTCCCTCCCCCCGTTTGTATCGCTCATTTTTTACCACTTGAGAAGGAAAATATTAACGGTCATTGAACGACTGCCAAGGCCAAAGCTTACTCCATAGCAACTCGAGTGGAATTGATAGTATGCCGTAGCGGCACCAAAACTCCGCAAGAGAAATCACGTACCCAGCGCAACACAAATGGCGCCGATACGCCATACAAGCGTGCTGAGCAAAAATCCCTACAAGGGAGTGCAGCGCGCAATAACCTTACAAAAGAAACATTCTCAGGCAGCCATAGCACTGAAGCACACCAAGCCAGTTTTGATAAGCGCTTGTTGCAATGCTAATCCTCATTACACATGACCAAGTTCTCAACAAAAACAAACAATACCGAGGAACTTTAACAAACGCGAAGGACGCACGGACCCTGGAGGGCTGTGCCCCCTTGAAAAATTGTTTGGTAATGGATTCACCTAGTACCGAGGGGTCATCTACTGTTCGAAGTCGATACCATGCCGACCTCATGCGCAATGGAAGTGCACTGCTAGATGACAGAATGAGCAACTGCCACGAATCTCATTGTGTGCGCGACGGTGTTGTCGCATCTAAATTTAGTAAGAGCACTCCTACCAGCTCGGTATTGGGAAGCTAGGCAGCTACCTAGCGGACCAGCTGGCTTAGTTGTGGCTGACACCCGGTCCACAGCAAAGAAGAGAGCGGGCAGCGTAGAGCGCAGCTAGAAGGGACAAGATGAAAGCAGCGGCAGTGAGACCGACGGATGCAAAAAATCCCTTCCCGTCCTGCATAACTTGTACGAGGAGCATGAACTCCGGGCGGGCGTCAATGTCTCTAGTGGTCGTAGAATATATGCAAGCCAACACCACGGTAGTGATAAAGGCCAGAGCGGCACCGACTCCAAAGAGAACGATCATGAAGACATTGCATAACTTTTCGCAGAAACAGCTGCGGACGTTCATGAAGAATGCCCCAATAACAGTCAAGGTAACCCACAGGACGCTAAGGGCTGGAGTGGGAGACAAACCGCCCCCACCACATGCCAAAATAGCTCCAGTTGCGCCATATAATCCCATAGAGAAAATCATCCTGCGTCGAACATAGTACACAGTGAGAGTGGACAATGGAAGAGCAATCAATTGCACCAGACGGTGCAACCACCCGGGGCACCTTGAGCCATTCTACATACACCAGTAGCCCCGTTAACGCATCTCACATTTACCCATGCAAAGTCCATAACACGTTATCCAGTATACAGTGGAAATATAGTAACAGGTCGCAAAGAAAAGTCAGAGCAAGAAGGGAGGCTTCTCCCCCTTATGCAGTATTCAGTGAAACTTACAAGACAGAGCCAGTGACAGACTCTCCACTGCTGACTTTAGTTGCTCTTGATAAAAGAACACATGCGGCGAAGGCGAGGACGCACGCGAGCAGCAAGCCTCCACAGTTTTGTGATGCAAATAAGAGGTCTCCCGTCTTGAACACCGAGCTGTCGTTTGAAGGATCTTTCATCTTATCCAAGTAGCCACGGAGGTATGCTGCTGTCGTACAGGTGGATATAAGACAAAAGAGTGACTGGATCCAACCAAGCACACAGAGAGGACACAAGAATATTCCGCAGACAAACAGGCCCAGCACGACAAAGGCCCCGCAAACCACGGCAAACAGAAGATGCAACCAGCCGAGGACATTGACAACTTTGGAAGCGTTTCCATCCTCATATAACGAGCTCTGTGTAAGGTCAATGTTCTGTAGGCCAGACACATCTGTAGACTGAGCACCCAAGAATATCATCAAAGCACCAACTGCAAACTGGAGCCCCAGGGCCAAAGCCCAAATTCCAACACCTGGCCCTTTGTAATTTGGTCTAACACAGCTGCATGCCATTGTGTTAACACGCTCAAGCGTCAAATGCAGGCAGGATCAAGTAGCAAAAGTTTCTACGGTATAGCCTTGGCCCGATGTGGGCGCGCAGTGCCACCCGTGGCTCGATGGGAGAGGCGAATCAAAAAAGTAAAGATGCACGCAGCGTGCTTTTGGTTGACTTAGTTCCGTCCAACAGTGGTGACCTGAAGCTGATGATGATCTCTGTTGCAAATGGGGGCGAAGCTGCGTAGACGCCTCTGGATCAGGGCGGAAGCAACGAACTGGGGTGCTTAGTTGAGCCTCTACTCAAGGCCCAAGCAGACTCTAGCTAAACGAAGACCATAAATACAACACATAAGAAGATTTATTGGAAATGCCAGATGAAGTATGCAGCGGGGTAGACTGTATCTTTGAAAGCGTACCGCAGCGAACAGGCCGTCTGTGTCCTGCAGTCCGCTTCTCTCAGCAATCCCTTGAATTTCCACTGCTAAAGCCAGTAACTCTTTCAAGGGCAAGTACAAGCCAAATTATTTATCTGGATAAAGCATTATTCACTTATTCCAAGCAGGTTCCGGTTGACCTATTCCACGTCAAATGAATGCCCATCTTCCACTAGCGGTAGGGGTACTTCTTGATCCAGAAAGAGCTTTTAAAATGCCACACTAGGTGAAATAGTGCCTCTATTTAGATTATATAGGACCTATACATCGGTAACCTGTAGATTTCCTCTTGCAAAGCGACCAGATATCAGATGGGCAATCCCGCAAGGCACTTCACTAGGCGCGGCCTTCCCCGAGTTCTTTTATGCCGCCGAACTTTTCCCTAGGGTGATGAGGTAATATGCCACGCAGCAACCGGATTAAGCTACAAATTGTGCCAGTACAAAAAATATTAAGGGACCCCAGCCGGGCCAAACCAGGTCAAGGGCTTACAGGGAGAGACCATCAGAGCTACACTCCCCATACGAGACAAGCTCTCACGCTCTAAAAGTTCGGGCTCAAGACCTATGTGTCTGAGGGAGCGTAATATTTTAAGTGGCCTTATTTGAAAAATTTTTGCCCGATAGTCCTGTTACTGGAGCTTGGTGAATGCAATCAGTGAGCGCGGCAACTGAGCTGAATGACGCAAGTGAGGATCGACAGGAATAATCCAGCTTCATTCTGCAGTTGTCTGAGACCTCCCATTCAAGGCAAAGAAAGGTCCGATGGTGATAAAAGTATTCATTGAAAGATATTAAGCTCCCATTTTTTTAGCTTGGGCCTAGAAAGAAAAGCTTCCTTCTGAATATGTCTCACATGCTAGTGAGCTATGGCTCACTATGATTGTAGCCAGTTAAAGTACATTTAGGCACTCTCTACTACTCTAGTTGCCTTTGACTACTAATTATGGTCGTCCTACTCGATGCGTAGTAGAGTTCGTTACGTACGAAATCCAGGCTCGAAACAACTTTTATACGAAGTTATTGAGTAGTTTTTACAAATTCCCCCTGTTTCGCATGCCCCTGCCCCTCAGGGATCAGACATTAATGGAGAAGACAACTATGGAGAGCCTAGCTGCCCCATCTTAGCACTCTGAGCGTTCATATTTAGTTGCACGTAGCATCTACGGTACACGCGCAAAACGCTGGTTCTTCTTGTAGTAAGTTTACAGCAGTCTGCAAAAAATTAGTTCTGCGGGCTGACAGACCAAGTATTCAATTTTCGACCAATGTTGAACAAAGTATGACTCACGTGGTTAATAGTGTTGAGCTGTAACCTAGCCTTCTACAACTTTTAAACGCAAGCCCACCAGCTGTCTGCAGGATAGTAAATGAATTCCCTGGATATGCTTTACCAGTGCCTCTACGCCGCTCAAGGCAACGTTTAGATGCAAACACTGCCGGTAAATGCGGCACGGTCCACTTCGAATCTCCAAATAACGCATTGGCGAGCATTTAGAGACAGTATGCCAGAGAGTGCCGGCGCTAAAATGTGAGTGTAGAGGGAAAACTAACGGTAGTGCCTGAGAGATTTTCAAGAATTTCTTGCAGATGAAGGTAACTATTTCAGTAGCTTCAGGCACGACTCAAGCTCAACAAAAAGTCAAGGGAATTTTGGATAGTAATCCATTCCTTCGCTTGCGTGCCTTCTCTCAAGAACCCGATATTCAACTCTTAAATAATTCTTTTTTAAATAGAGCTGGCGTGACAGATTGTGTTGAAGTGTAGCTTTGTTCCTCGAGGCATCCTTCGAAGCGACTAACACTCTGAACCAAGCAGACCCACATATCCTCCCGTAGGGAGCGAAGCTTGCAAATGCTTCCTCATCAATCATTAATGTCGCCGTTCCCAACCTCATTTTACCAGAAACTCTCGTCCGCTGTTTTCTCGGTTCTCATCAATCCTTGAATTTCGCACTTACAGGGCTCCATGAGAATTCTCTGCCTTTATACGATTGCATTCTCGCGCGGCAGAGTCCGCAAAAAAGTCGAGGAAGATTGAAACCCCCTGACGAAGCCATCAATAACAGTTCACAGCTTCAACTTATAAGGGCTTGGCAGAGTGAGAATGAACACTGCTTTGTGGTAGAATCGCAAATGATCCTAGTCATCTAGTCGCAACCTTATTCGTCTGGTCATCGTATAGTGCGTTACATTAAACCCCCTAGTCAACCAAGACAAATTATTAGGGCTTGAATTCACCGCTGACTGCCGCTTATTACAATTTCGTCCCTGTCTGTCACGAGCTCTTCGCATCCGTGTGCACGCAACAGCCAGCTGTTCCCTGAATGCTTCCGCCGCTTACGGTAGGCGCTGACACTGGACCACCAGACTCGGGCGTGAATCAGACGAGGGCTCCTTAATGTAGACCGGGGGATGCGGGAGAGCAATGGATAGATCAGTGTATCGTCGTATCCTAAGCCCCATCGTTACAAGGACAGCACACAAGGCAGACAAATAGATTCTTGTAGGCAGAATTGCAATTACTGCAGGCATGCGCTGTTGGTGTGCTCTCTCCGTCTATGGGCCTTTGGATGACTTGCATTGCGGCTTTATGATCATGTCCTGCTGGGACATAAAGTCACGCCAGAGCATGCCAACGAAGTTCAGACCTCTGTATCGTTATGATGCTCCTAAGGAATCATAAGGTCTACAGATATGAGCCGAAAATAATTGAGCAGCCTCCTTGGCAGTTGTAGAGCTGGGTCAAAGAATAAATAGGCATACTTGCTGAGTTTGTCGGCAACGACCTAGATTCTGTCATGACCCTTGACACCCGGCAGCATAACAATACAGTCGATCCTCGGTAGGTTCAAAACTTTGAAGAGCCCGAATGCCTTGCAAATGCCGGCTTGGAAGAATCGTTTGGCTTCTGTAGCTGACAAAATGGGCATGGCACTGCAGACACCACTGGTGCAAGACGCATCACAGGCCACCACATGAACTGCGAGTGTTTTTCTCTGCGGTGTGAATCCCGCCACGGCTGTATTCAGCCTTATTACGTGCATTGCGCAAGTTGTCACTGCAGAAGCAGTGTTGGAAAGTACAACCCACGAAATCCCCGCTTTTGTAAAGGAAAGCAGGCCATGCTCAACATGGTGGTGCTTAACCCTTTAACAATTGTGAATTTCTCCACTAAGACCAAAGTGGCTGCGCTACACACTCTTAAGTCACTGAGCTGTCACGGAAGCAAGTCAGCGACCTAGAGTGATTCGCTGGATTGGAAGCCTCCTGCAGTACGACTTTAGAGTGGAGTGCTTAAGGGGCAATAACAAATTTTAAAGAAGTTTTCTCTACGAACATGAGACTAATGGCTGGCTTAGACGGTTAAATGGAGCCCACACGAAGAGTTTCAGCATTTCTTTTCGCCCCACCATACCGCATAAAATTCCTTCTCCTGCCTTGGACACCGCCGATTGGCGTCAACGGAGCGGTAAGAATAACAAGCAATATTGTGGTAATTTGTTGATTTCGTAGTGTGTTGGGAAAAAATAGCTCAGCTCTCCCAAAATTTGCTGTTGAGCCAACCTCGGCATAACCCGATGGCGCAGAGCCTCTAAAAAGGGTTGAACTGTAACAATCCTCGCGGGAAGACGACCACCTCTACATCAATGGAGCCACCGTCAAGGTGATTCTCCCTCCAGTAACCATGCTGCAAGAATCATTTGTTTATCTTCAACTGGGGACTCAACTGAGGGTACATTTCCAAGCGTCTGATGAAATCTTTCGAGTGGTTGCCCTTCATCGTACTGTGATGCTTTACAGTTGGCATGACCATATTGATGCACCCATGAATATTGTTGCTGAAGAATCAGCCCTTTCTACGAGCCAATGAGCTACTACTTTTGCATCACTTCGCACGCTACCCTTCGCCGCCCAATCAGGTGTTGCGTCACGATCTACTTCTATCTCCAGATGCGTTTTACTCTGCTAGTCTACTGCGAGAGAAAATGAGATTATTGAACTACTCATTGACTTTATCCAAACCAGAAACATTCGGTGAAGAAATCGGCTGTCACGCTGCACCCACAGCCAGTGAATGAGCACAAAGGAGCTGCATCGAACCCTGCAGTGCCACCAGCTGTAGTGCTCTATCGGAGGTCTCCACAGGGGGACAAATAACAGCAGACTGAATACAAAATTCACCGAGCCTTATTAAGTGTCCTCCTACAATGCCATCCTTTACCATAACACCGTCTCTGAAAGGTCGCGCATGAGACGAATGGAGTAGCACCAGTGCGTATAGCAACACCCTCGAAGCATAGGCATTCACAACTAGCTGGACAAGGCATCTAGCTCACGCGCACACAACAGTGCGCCTCCTTGTCATGAAGTCAACACTGCTCTGCAACCAATACGATACTCCGGGAATAAATCAAGTATGTCTTTACTAATTCTTAGTTGAATACAAATGTAGTTGAAAGTGCTCAGGTTTAGCTTAGCCTACTAGGGGGTGCAGCAATGCGTGCCCTAGATATCCCTCTGCCCTGAAACCTTAGGCTCTTCGGTGTGGGCAGTTGAAAAGGTCGTGTGGAAACCAGTAAAAGCCCCTCTTCTTAGGTCGCATTGACTCGTCAGTTGATTTCCTACCTACGAAGACCTTAGATTGAACGTTATAACAATGGGCAGCCGGCGGGTCCATTGTCTCACCAGGCAAGCAATTTGAGTACAAGGCCAGAATGCTGGAGAATGGCTTACAGAGACACGCTAGAATGGGTGCAAGTGCTGACAAGGTGTAGTGCCGAGGAAGAGCCAATGGGGTCCCTAGGAGGGGCGATTCGCCGAGGTTGGTGTTAACTGTTGAAATGGTGACATAGGGACACTAAATTCTCGCAGTGCGCAAATTTCCCATAATATCGATACTCGAGTTGGGGGAAGTCGTCTGCATTCCGTCGTATCGGTGCACTTCCTGTGCTTTTGTGGGTCGAGAGTTTGGGCTGGATGCTGCATGTGGGGCTTGGCTTTTCTTGGTTTCTGCATGGGGGCACCCCTCATTGGGAGGACACGTGCCTCTGCCCTTCTACTTGTTGGTCAAATGCTTTGCTTTGCACGAGGAAGACGCTCGAGTATTATCTCTCCGAGTTGACCGTGGAAAGTAGACCGAAGATGTCGGACGTTGAGAGCACTGGTGCCCCCGAGGAGGTTCAAGTTGAGGTGGAGGAGGAAAACGTCACGGATATAAAAACCGCCATCAAGAGGGTGAGATAAAGCAATCCCTTGTATAATTTGTCGTAATGAATCCGTTTTATATCCTGAATGTGGAACTTCAAACTTTCATATCTGTCAGCAGCGCGTGCCCCACCCACAATCTCCGTCAATGACGGTCAGCATGTTGGTGTTCTTTTCTGACATCAGGAAGAATGTTAATTTCCATGCGCGCAGACTTTGATTCTGTATTCAAGATTAGCTGAATACAATCTGGCCTTGTGAGGGGCCGTTGAGTTGTTCTCCAGTTCGTTGCTTGTCGTGGCCGTCCAACCTGGGGGACACCATAATATGGAATTGCCTTTTGGATGCTGAATTTGATGTTGTGTATTTGCTCGTTAGATACCGACTGGTGCATCAGGACCTGTTTTAGCCTTCAATTTTCACGATTGCATTGTTCGAGCAGAAACATAGGGAATGAACTTAGCATGTGCTCGCTGCGCTCATGTAATGGTTTCAGGTTTTGAAGAATGCCCTGATTCACGATGGGCTGGCTCGTGGTCTGCATGAGGTTGCAAAGGCTCTAGATTCCAAGCGCGCGCAGGCATGCTTTCTGGCCGAGAGTTGCTCCGAGCCTGCCTACAAAAAACTGGTGGGGGGGCTTTGCAAGGAGCATGGTATCCCTCTGATTGAGGTGGCAGAAAGCAAGGATCTCGGCGAGTGGGCAGGACTCTGCCGCATTGATCACGAGGGTGCCCCTCGCAAGGTTGTTGGCGCTTCGTGCGTCGCCGTCACCGACTTTGGCGAGCAAAGCGAAGCCCTCACCTTCCTCCAGAACCACATAAAGTCACTTTCGCACAAAACATGCCCGTAAAGTCCTGTCTTACGTCTTCTGGTTTTCAAAACCCTGCGTAATTACAATACAGATGGGAAACTCGGTTTTTGAAGAAACCTTAATTCCTAGTGATGGGTTGTCTGCGTCTAGCTTCATTTCGCGCATAGCACCTTGGAACTATCATTCTGCTTTTGTATAAGGGGGTCTGCGCGTACATTGGCCAATGGCTCTATCTATTGACACATTGCAGTGCAAACCATAACCTACCACAGATCACCGCAGCATCCAGAAACAGATCATCTCAGGATTTGATCGCAGTCAATTGAGTCTTTCCAACAGGCACGTGGCAAGCCTATGGCGAAGTGTTTAACAGTCAAATGCCACAATTCGAGTAGCTTAGATTACGCTTCCTGAGGGGCTTAGGAAGGGTGTTAGCGTATTACTGCCCGTGCGCATGCCTTACCGTCATGAGGTTTATCTCGCTGTAGCCAGTGTATTAGGGCTGAGGCAGAGCCGCTTCAGTGAAGCCTTGCAGTGAGTAGGTGTGCTAATCGTGCTCCCCGCCGTGTGCAGAGGAAGCGGGGCGAAGAACACCACAAGTGTGAGCGCGGCAAAGTGCAACTCACCGAGGCACTTCAGCGAGCATGCAGTATCAAGCTCATTGATTTCTTGCATTGAAACGCCATCGCGAGAAAGTGGCGCCAATACGATGATGCCGTTTACGCATACTGTTCAGGAAAGTACCAAGCACATCGATGTGCAGCAAAGATGGTAGCACAAGGAAATGAGGCAAGGGTTCACTGTTCTGGTTTAACACTGCCACAAGCAGGCACAAAACTAGCAGAATTTCATGTAAAAGCATACCAAGGTTATGTTGACCTATCGACATTATTGTAGGGGAGAGAAAATGCCACCCGAAAATCTCTTTGAAGCAAGGAAGTGCGAGGTAAAAAGTGTTTTCAGCATATATGTGTTTGCATGCAAGTAGATACACTTATCTATAGACTCGCGCTGAATTTATAAAAGCAGAGCATACCCTGCTTATAGCTACACTTCGGTACATTCTGCCACTATAGTAATACTCAACTATGAACTGGTTAAGGATCGAATGACCGACTTTCCCAGAGGTGCATCTTACTTATTGTAGAGTAGAGCTAGCTCATTACACACATTAATGCTGTGTACTTGTGCAGAGGATGCTATCTGCTACTACCTGTGAATGCTCCAAGTGCCTTGGAGTGCAGCAACGCGCACCGTAGTTTATTTTCTTTCCTCATACCTGAGTCCTTGATGATTAGAGCGGAGGAAGTGGAGGGCCGTTTTGAAAAACACAAAGTAACTGTCAAATTTTGTATACAAGGTAGAGTTAAATATATCTTCACAGAATCCTTTGATGGGGGCGTTACGCTACTCAGAATAATGCCTGGTGAACGCTTACCCGTTCATTGGCTAGGTGGGCCTCGGCTACTAGGTGCCTTAGACTTTATAATATGCTCATAAGGAGTTTTTGGTACTAAATTTTGGTCAGATCATGAAAGTTCGGCAATCACTCGTCGTTTCTGTGCCTTCGGCATAACTCTGAGGCTGGTAAGAGCTATTTGCGAAATTTACTTCAGGAAGCCATATTCATAGTGGAAAAAAGACGAAAAAGGTATCTCCTGCATTAGTTAATTGTTGCACAGGAAGTCAAGGGTTGAACTTCGACTCAGCTGTCTGAAAGGAGCCTGAGTCGAAGTAGGCATTCAAAATACAGGTATCATGGGCTAATACAGTAGCAGCCATTTATACTCGGTGGCGCTGTGCTTGTTCTTGTTGGTCACTGTCATGTTCCACCCAGGGTCTCGGTAGGTAGACCCTTATCCCAAAACCCTAAGAAAAACTAAAAGATAGCTTTCGAGTGCCTTTTTTTAAAAAGAATCGTTCTCCCTACCCGCATTCTTTCGAGCTCCGAGATGAGATTAAAGGAGAGCTAGAGTAAGCGCTGTTGCACTTTCTATGCACTCCAAGCCCTTACATCTAGTTTCACACCGCATTTAGCGCACCCTCACACGAATCTTCTCTCTTCATATTAGGCTAATACCATTCGCTAGAATCGATGCTACATGAAAATCAAAAACATTGGTCTATTCCTTACTAGCTCCTAATCAGATAGAAGTAGTGTAGTAGAAACGTCCGAGTCGAAATTGAGCCACCTGTCCCTTCGACCCCGAATTCAAGACACACCCCCTCGCGCTCCGTACTTTTTTGCGGGCAGAGCTGCATTACAACACCTCTCATTAGGCTAGTTGAATTTTAGATGACAATTAGTATTGGATTGTGTAATTAATATGTCTGCTAATATGGCTACTTTCTGCAGAGTAGCGTGAGCTCCGTGCAAGTAGGCTCAATGTTGCGTGCGCGTGCACTGAATTATAGATGCAACTAGTTATCAATGCTCGGAATGCTCAGAGGGTGCGTTAGCGCCCACCGGTGCTGTTACTCTCCTATGAAATGGGAACTATGAGGGGCGGGAGTACGGAGAGGCGAAAACTCCTACACCGAAAGAACCTCGTTACATCTTTGCATTTTTAGAGCAGAGTTTTTCTAGCGAGGGCTTCGATAATGCACTACAGTTGACGGTGCCGCATGATTCGAGGCTGCTTTCCCCGGCTTATCCACCGGCTGCTGATGCAAAGGGAAGTCCGCTTTCCTCGGGAATCTTGCACGGTTTTGATTGCATCAACTGGTTAAACTTTTATCTTTTTTCGGATATAGTCTGAAAGAAAAATGGTCTGGCGATGGAAGTAGACTGCAACCCAACAGCTGTTTGGGTGGCAGAGGCCAGCGTGCAAACTGATGCGAACGCAGTAGCTCCTCAGCTAGTAAAACGGCCTGATTCTACAGCCAGCAAAATGTTTATAGATACACCGATGAGTTCGTGCCAACCAAAAACTATCGAGGCACAAAAACGGGCAGGCACTCGAAAAATTCTTCTAGGCATTTGAAATGTACCTTTTGTTGTACCCTCAGGTGTAGAGAAACAAGAGCTCCATGCAGCATGTTTACTGGAGGTAGAAGCGCCTCAATGGTGGGTGTATCGATGTAGAGGGCATCGTCTGCCTGCAAAGATTAATACAGTTCAACCTTTTATAGAGGCCCTGACTTATCGGGTTATCACGAGATTGGCTCGACAGCAAGCGGTAGAACAGAATACTGGAACACTGGCATATATCAATATATCGCTAGAGTGAGAAAAAATAAAATGAGTTTTGCATAAGCCATGGCGTAGACGAACAGCTTACTTACCAGTGCTTAATCTCCGAAGTTTTTCGCCAGCTGGTCGTAAGGTGGGGAGCGACACGGTGATTAAGCAGCCAACCGGTGGTGCTTCCAAAGACTACGCTTCAGATTTCGAAAGCAGAAGATGCAAGTCATGCGCCCTTGGCTCATAAGGAAGAGCCGATTTGATATTGGAAGATATAGATCTTGGGGCTGTCAACCAGCCCTAGTCTACGGTCCAGGGTGGATGAGAAGCCCGAGGCAATAAGCGCTCATGCTCAATCATTGAGCCATTGAAAGCTTAGATACTCCTGTTGTGGGAGCTCAAGTCATATCATCAGGAAGTACAAGCACATGAAAACCAGCAAATAACTTGTTCAGCCTAGCTGGGCCCAGCAGAAGCAGGATACCCGGCAAGCAAAGAGGGCGCATCAGGAAAATGGAAACGCCTCCACGCAGGCGGTGGCGTAGAAAAGCGGGGTGAACAGAATAGAGCCGCAGTTGTAGACCCACCGGTGGTAAATCATTCTCTTGCATACACAAGTCTACATTAAAAGTAAAAGTAAATAGTTGCTCACGTAACTAAACATTGAGTGTAAAGTGGATCTGCACTTCGAGGAAGATGTGAGAAGCACAATCTGCCTATTCATTCGCTAGTGCAGTCCCTGGGACTCAGTTTGCTTACAGGTGGCAGAATGAAAGGAAATGCAAGTTAAGCGCGGCTAAATGATTGTTTGCTTCGGAATTCAGCCCTATCAGCAAGAACCCCAGCCTCTATGCTTGAGCCCTTGCACCACGACGTAATCCTAGCGTGCCACTCAGTGAGAACCGAGTGGAAGGCCCGCATGCGGCCATAGCTGCTCGCCATGAAGAAGAGTCTGCCAGCAAGCGCTCGGAAAAAGCAAACTTTTCTATAATTAACAACGCTAATTCCATATGTGGTGAGCGTGGTAGAGTCAGTGCATAAACAAGGAAAGGCAGACTCTTCCCACAGGCGGCCCGGCAGGAAACTACGAAAAGAGGACGCTCAACGTGCACTCATCTTGCTGGCTGTGCGACTGCTTTTTATCATGCAGCCCAATCGAGCTTGCTACTAAGAGAACTCAGGAGTGAACAAGACTCAAGGGGGGGGGTTGGCGGCTGTGCGGAATGAAAACGAGCTGCCAGCAGGCTGGCCATCGGCTGGTCGGCCACCGCACTCTAATGAGTTGCTCGCTATGTCAGTTCCAGGCTGTATTCCACGTTACTGAAAGCCGCCATAGCATGAAGAGGTGATTGAGCCGTAGGGAGACGATCCTATCTGAAGACGCAAAGTGCAAAAATAGGCCTCGCTCTTGGGCAATGCCTGCCGGAGGTCCCGAAAAAGGACAGAGGTGGCGCAAGTGCGTCAACCTTAAGCCCCTGAACACGATTTTTTTTTAAAAATATAAATTTTCATGCGTCAGAACTGCGAAATACTTGGCAAACTACACAGATTAACATCTACTCGACACGTAGCTTCACAAACTCCTTACAGATCCTCATTTACCGTAATGACGGGCACCAAACAGTATTTCACGCTCACAAGAGTGTAGTATACATTTATGCTGTTTGGACTTGTCGGTTCCTCAGCTTAGTCAAATCGGTAAGTCAAACCAGAATTAATGTTTACCTCTCAATGAGGAGCGAGTGACTGTCCACATGTACGAGGTTCGTAGCGTTTAGAAGAAGTGTTCAAGGGGACCAATAGCAGCTACGGCGTGCCCTTGAGCTGGGGCAGAACAGACTGTGTTGAGTTGGCATGTCCTCATTTCATTCTACGAGAACAGTTCCAGGAATTCCACGTTTTGGCCGCAGAAAATGGGCCAGATCCGGAAAAAGATTGGAGCAGTCAAGGCGTGGCCTTGACCTGTGTGCACTCGCAAGGACGTTGTAAGGTTCCATGAGCTTGCATCTTAGAGACGAAATCTCATTACTGGTGAACTTCTGAGCTGCTTTCTCCTTGACTCATTTTCAGGAAACGTAGTGTACGACCTGTATAGAGAAGGCTGATGCCGCAGCATCTGCCTTACAAACCTTCAGGTACTTGCACTGCAGTATTATGAGCTTCATTTCCTCCAAGCTGGTGACGGAATAATACCGGGGTAGGCGCGATTCTAGTCCAACACGCTGCGAGCTCTCTGAAGCACCAAAGTAATGCTTGCTGCTCTCGCCGCTTCGTCGCGAGCAGCGGTGTCCAGCGCACAGATCGGGATTCTATGCGAAATAACTAACAAAAAATGTGCAGGCTTACTTTTATCATCTAAACAAGCCATTAAGAATAATAATATTTATCGTAGGTTGTTTGAAGTAAACTTTCAAAAAGTTTGCTTCAAGCTTACATAATTCACTCGAAAGTCGTACTGTGAAGGCGTCCATGCCAGCGAATCAATCTGGGGCTACCAAGTATATTACTGACGCGCTTCAGCGACGCTACATTGGTTTATGATTATGTAGCGCGGCCACTTTTGTCTGTTACTATGCACACTGCGAAGAAAAAGCTCTCTCAGTCTTTGTGGTGACCTGAGTTGCGTCCTGCAGCAGAGGCGTATGAGGTGTCATGCCCGTTTTGTCAGCTTCTGGAGCCAAAAAAACTCTTCTAAGTCGGGCATTTGCAAACCATTCCATTTAGTCAAAAAATTTGGACTGACTAAGGATGGACTTTATGATTTAGTTGCCGGATGTCAGGGGTCACGACAGCATCTAGGTTGGTCGACAGACTTAGCAAATACGCCCATTCCATTCCTTGGTTCAGCTCTGCTACGGCCGGGAAAGCCGCTCAATCATTTTTGCCACTTGTAGCCCTCATGATTCCTCAGCAGTATCATAACGACATAGTGATTTGAACTTTCTTCGGGTGTTCTCGCATAACTTGGACCCGCCTTAAACACTGACCATACGTCGCCACTGCAAGCCATTCTAGGGTATATTGGCAGAAAGAGCACATCAACAACACTTTTTTGTAGTATTGGAAAAAGGCCCTTTATGCTCCACAGAATCTCAAGTTGAAGGTGCCACAGAGCGATTCCTGGCTTCCTGAAGAAGTTTCAAAGTCCTCCAGATTACTCGCGGAGCTTGTCGCGCAAGCAGTGTACTTTGTAAAGGTAAAGCCTTTGCAATAAGCGATTGAAGTGATGGATTCTAGGATTTTGAGCGTCGATGACGCACTAGAGGGAGGTAAAAGTGTTCTGGTGTGGGAAACGCCAGCATCAGTTTAAAGGCTTTTAGTTGCCGCATTCGTTGCCTACGAAGGTTTCCGTGGCTATGAATGGCTAGCAACACTTGCTGACATGAATTGTAATATTTGCATTTCTTAGTGGCTGCCCTTCCCTAGCACATGATCGGCTTGAATTAGCAATCTTCATCTGTGTAGCGCTTGAAAAAGTGTCGATTACTATTGTTCAGATGCTCTCTACACTCAGATATTCGCGCGGCCACTCTCATATATACTCTCCCTACAGTATTCTATCTGCTTTCTCTAGGAATAACAAGTTAGTTCTACTGTGCGCGCAGGCTGTATTTGCATGCAAACATTGCTCTGTGCCGCGCTAGAGCCATGCTGAACGCATGTGGACCTGACGTAGAGGCACAGAGCATGATGATGTTTGTTTCGAAATGATGGAGGTAAAAGTAGCGAGCACTTTATCTTATACTAAATCGGTTGTAGTACGCTAAGACCTAGGAAGGTGTGACTATTTGGTATGGCTTTCGGTGTATTTCATTTATTGCAGAATGCTGTAGGATGGATGTCAGAAGGCGCAGTGTCATGTGGGTGAGCTCTAGATGCGACATGCAACTAGGTGTAAAAGTTCGAAGTGTTTAGATGGTGTAGGCATGCACATCGTTGCTGTCCGCCACCTCTCATGTTAGAGCGCTGAGGGCTACGTGCAGGCGAACAGGGGGGTTCTTCACAGAACACATTTGAACTCGGTGAAACCTTCGATATAATTCAGAGTGGCGAGTGTTTGTGCGGGGACCGTGAATAGCTTGTTACATTCTCGTCCATCGCCCCTAGAGATTTTGACATCAGGGGAAAAGGGCAACGTGGATGCGCGTCGCTGCACCGTGTATGGCCGCTAATCGCTTACAGCTAGATGCAGATCGCATTAAGCCCACGCACACACAACACCGCATCTTCTCGTAACGAGCTAAAAGTAGTCAGCAATAATAAGAGATACGAATCGACAAATAATCTAATCATTTCTATATTGAACCCTTGTACAACTATGTGTGGATAGAAGTGTAAAATAGTCCTTCAAACCACTACAGAAAGTGTCAAAGTGCAGCCTAGCCTGATACAAGGGTCGGTAAATGCACCGTAGCCCTCTTTCTCCCAATATTCCGGAAGTTCGAGGGGAGAGGACTAGGAGAGAGGGGGGAGCTTCTATAGAAGAACGCTCCGTATATCACACTTAAGTATCGCAGAGCCAAATCACTGTGCAAAATAAGACGAGCAGCATGCCTAACTCAACAATTGTCTACTAATTCTTAATAGGAGTACAGTCAGCTTAGTAGCAAATGTATAAGTAGAGCTGAGCTCGCCGCAACAATGCAAAAGCCAGAGATGGCACAATGAAGTGACCGTGACAAGTGGGGTTGAGGCAACTTTCCGCTGGATTTTTTGGTCTATCCATTGCGGGGTTTTGCCGTAAGTGAAGTCTGCGGAAGATGAAGGAGGCCTAAACAACCCACCATCGTGAAGGCATATTTTTACTTTACAGTTGTTCTTTGCTTCCAGCCCAGTAGAGGAGGCAGGCAGTAGATAAAGAGACCGCTAATCCACACGTGTAGGCAAGCAATTACTGCACTATCACTAGTTTTGTGTATAAAACTTCAATTTAAGCAACAATTAGTGAGTGGGAAGAGAGGCTACTGTATGTTACAGTGTGGCTTCTGCGTCTGCATGTGACTAGAAGTCAGCAGGACGTCTGGCGGGTACGCATGCACCCCCGAAAACCCTGCTGCAGTTCCTTTTCATTTTGTTTGCTTCTCAAATCTGTTTACAAGTGAAGATGGCAGCAGCTGAGGCTATAGAGAAGAGGGAGGACGCGGGGCCCCCCTCCCCTGACACCCCTCCGCCCACGGAGGTAGGCTTTGCACAACCCAAGAGTCCTCATGCCCCCCAATACCCACAGTACATATGTTAGGTGCTTCTGAAGGGGCTATAGGGTGTCGGCGGCCTTGCTGGCATGCACCCAACCTTTCCAATGCTTGAAACCTGGCTTGCATAGCGTACTTCTTGGTTCTTGAAATGCGAGGCTGAGCATGACTCGACGGGTTCTTGTTTCTTGTTCTCTCACTTGCATGTCTGTTACTGTTGGGAGTGTGATTGTTGTTGCTCCCTACCTTTGCCTTTTCGCAGTGCTATGATGCTTTTCTCTTGGTGTACCATAAGGGTGAAACTGTAGCGCAGAATGGGTTCATACATACCATGGCCTAGTACACGTGTTTTGTCTGGAACAACAAACCTGTGTAAACTCTGTCTGGTCTGCGGCTGTGGTTCGTTGTAGCAGCCCGCATCACAGCAGGCCTTTGACTTCGGTGAGCGGCGTAAGAAGAAGAAGGAAAAGAAGCCTGAAGACCACGGTATGTGCCACGGAGCAAATGCACGCACGCCGACACAAGGACGGATAACTCGGTGTTTTTGTCTTCTGTATGCGATGAAGGGGAATACAAGCCGTCCCTTATGCTGGTTCGGGGGTTCCTTGGGTGGCCATTGGTCCTAATGATCTTCTTGTGCTTCCTTCATTCCACCGTATATTTGTACTTACTTCTCCTTTACTGCCCCACGGCGTTTTGCGCCTGGGGTATGCATGTAACTTGTGTCGCATTCGCATCATGGAAATCCGCTTGAACGGCAAGCAGTACTGTTGCTGCGATTTGCAGCGATGTTCAGCCACTGTAGCAGCACACGTAGCACAAGGGACGATATAGCGAATGTAATACTCGCAGTCGCTGGTGTAACAGCAGCAACAGTTGGGGCATGAGCAACGGTTACGGGAGGAGCACCAAGATGTTTCCTGCTGTTTGCGTTTTGTGCTGCTGCAGATGACGGTTCTTCTCAGCCTTTTGTGGACGGATCCGGTCAGGTTTTTGTCCGGGGGCACGTCTACACCTACGAAGAGGTGAGCAGCTACTTCTACACTTCAGCATGGAATTAACTGCCCAGCAGGTCTCCGGTGTGTTCTGGCGAGAGAGTATGCAGTCACTCGCAGAGAATCGGTCCAGATGTGGTGTCTCCCGGCCGGCATGCCCGCGTTTCTAATGGATTTTGTGTGTATATGTTGTATACTCCTTCCGCACCTTTGCCATCGTCCATTTGCTCGGTATTGGCACTTGAGGCTCGCCAACTTTGCCGCAGATGCTGACCAGAATTCAGGAGTTGATCGTGAAGAACAACCCGGACTTGGCGGGATCCAAGCGTTACACAATCAAACCCCCGCAGGTCGTCCGCGTAGGCTCCAAAAAGGTGCGTCAAAAGGCGTGCGTGCACAGCGGCGGGATCATCTGCAGTGGGATCGGTTACGATTGGGCTTAGTCTTGCCTTCTAGAACAGGGAGGGATGTACCTGGTTTCACTGCGTCTCCATGCGGAAACAGCTTTTTTGACTTTTTCGGATTCAGGCGGTTACGCCTGGACTGTGTGAATGTCATCTCATTCTTGCTGGGCTCTCGACTGTTTTCAGGTTGCTTGGATAAACTTCAAGGATATTTGCGGCATCATGCACAGGCCGAGCGAGCACGTGCTGCAGTTTGTTTTGGCAGAGCTCGGTACGGTTTGGGGGCCTGGATTTTTGGGCCCTGTGTTGCTGCTTCTCCTCCACCCAGACGTGTTTCCCCACATTTTGTGTGCTGCCTGCGTATACACGCAACCGCGCTCTGCGTGGCTGCCTCTGCACTTCGACGTCGCTGCCTCTGGGTGCGCCATCTCCACTGTGCGTTTCCAGGAACTGAGGGGTCCATAGCGGGGGATGGTCAGTTGGTGTTGAAGGGAAAATACGGCCCGAAGCACATTGAGGCGCTTCTCAGGAAATACATCAGTAAGTCGGCTAAAAGGAGACCAAGGGGTCACCCTTGATAGGGGCTTCTGCCGGCGGAACGGCGGTTGGGGGGAGGGGGGGGGTGCTGGTGCTTGTTTGGTTGTGCGTGTTTGTAGCACGCGCCAGAGCGTCCTCCCTGCCTAGCGCGCATTTTCGTTCATGCAGGAACGCTAGGGGTATAGCGCTGCCCGTCTCTTCTTAGATCATGCTCGTCTTCTGTGCGGTCTTCGTGTTTGCATACTTGCAGCGGAGTATGTAACGTGTCAAATGTGCAAGTCCCCAAACACCACCATGACACGCGACTCCCGCACGCGTCTGTGGCATCAGGCTTGCAGTGCCTGCGGCGCGAATCGCTCTGTCACAACCATCAAGTCTGGCTTCCACGCAGTTGGCAAGGGAGAACGCCGCAAGGCCAAGCTCGGCTAAAGGCACCTTAAAGTTTCAAGTGTGCTTGGATGCCTGGCGGGGGTCGGAGGAGCTGTATATGCGCAGATGCCCCCAAAACGCGACCCTCCGGCCCCCGAGAGGCATTGTCAATCACGACGGACTTTGGGGCTCTTTTGAGATTAGCTGGGATATGGGGTGACTGCCAGGCACGGGACAGCGATTGAGGCTGTTTCTGGGTCCTTTCAGGGAAGGCTCACTGGGGGCAGAAGGCAGAGCAGAGAGGAGGGTGAGCAGACTGCTACCTACCAAGCAGGTGGCATGGGGGCTAAAAGTTTACACAAGGCAAGCAGCCACATGACTTGCTGCCTGGACTAACTGATGCAGGGTTTTAAGGACTCCACATGGAGACCAGAGAAAAGAGGAGGCGACGCGGGAGACCTGCATCGCTTTTCATCTCGTTTTTCCTGGCATGTTCCTTATTACCGCATTAAATTGGCGACGCCTCGTTTTGCTCTTGCGTTTATAGATATGCACTTTTGTAAGTGGGTAAAGTTATAACGCTGTTAGTAGGCGCAACGCCGTACACCACCATGGTCTCCTACTTGCAGATTGGCGACTATTATCGATATATTGGGAGCCCATTGCAGCTGCCTCAGGTGCACAGGCTATTTACTCATAGGGGCATGCACTTGTGCACGAATGGAACTGAGCACACATGTATGTGAACAAGGTGAGGGAATATAATGCAGATAGGAAGCGGCCGCCCTTCTCTTCAAGGATGAGGCACGCGCATTTTTCATGGAAGTGGAGGCTTTCAAGGCTACTCAGCGACTTGGCAGCTGGGCGCACATTAGGGCACGACCATCCTACGTTTCGAATTGGAATCCATGCCCCCCAAACCCAACTGGCCCCTTCCGCCAATGAGTAACGCAGCCCGCCTCGGTGCTGGCAGGGCCTGACCACCGGCCTCTCAGAAGAAGCTGTGATTAGAGAACTTAGGTCTGCAGACGTCAAGGCAGTCGCCGCTGCCGTTGCTGTGCTCATGTCGGCCAGCCGAGTTTGTTGCTCAACACTCAAGGAGTCCCTCTTTCTCTGATCTCCGGCATTCGTTTTGCGCTGTGTGCCTCAAAATCGACCTTTGCTGCGTGGTGAAAAGCCATCCACAGCCCCCTCTCCAGCATTCTTCTTTCCTGAGTTTTCTCTACATCGTACGTCCTTCGAGCACTAGCGCTGCATTCGCCGCCCTAGGCTTTTTGCATTCGCTTCTTCTTGAATCGGCCTTCACGTTGGCAGTGACCCCCATAGATCTACCCCGGAGTGTGCTGCTGGCTCCCGCGCATCTCTCAAAAGGCGTACTGAATTTTTCCCATTAAGATTTCTTTTTGTGCTCTGCAAACATCTGAGGGAATGAGCGAGGAGAGCAATCCCACGGCCCTCCCACAATGCGGACGCGTAGACTCACTGAACACCCCTACTTTGTGATGCGAACGTAAAGTGCTCAAGCCATGGCTCTAGGAAACGCACTGAGCAATTGAATAAGGCAACCATGAGTATCAGCTGTGGTGCGGCAGCTGCTGCAGTGGGTGAAATGCTTGACATCACCGTCTTACAGCACTGCTACATCATCAGCTGCCGTGGCACGAGTGAACAAAAAGAATAATTAGTTGCTCTAATAAACGGTAGGCCGCCTATACGAGTCGTGGGGCCGTGCCTAGGCACGTCTATGTAAACTAACTGTTCTAATGGCCTGACTTCTGCTGCTGCTGGCTGCTGTAGGGGGCAGGCGCAGCAGCTGATTTACAGGCTTGTACAAACTGCCTGCCGTTTGAATGTACACAAGCGCGATGGCATGGAAAGGCTGACTGCGGAGCTCGCCGCCCCCGAGCTAAAAGGAAGAAAAGCTAACATTACGATGCCCAAGAACCCCATTAATGGAAGCCCTTAAGGCCTCCAAGAACAATGTATTTCGTGAATGATTCTGCGAAAAAATGTGCAAGAATGCATTCTTATTAGGTGATGCAAGACAAGGAAGGTGAGCACGAGCAAGCTGGAAGAACTAAGGGGCTGGAGGAGTAGCAGACACCCGTGAGGATAATGAGCAATGACGGGGGATACTACAGCGTTTGGAAAGAGATGTATATAGGTGTGTTAGTAGATGATCGCCTTAAGTAATGGACGGAACGGACAAAACGACGGGAAACCGCTGCTCGACAAACAGAGTACGGGGCCGACTGGACAAAAAAAGAAAAGACATAGGTCTTGCCATGAACGCGTCTTATATGTACAGAAGCGCAATCAAAACTCGGACCCCCAGAGAATTCACGGCAACTAAAAAAGAAGCGCATATGAGTTTCATCCGACAGAAATGGCTTAGCTGCGGTGTGCTGTTAAGTGTTGTTGCTGAAGGGAAGCCGATCCGCGATTATCAAATACGAACGAATGACAATCTTAGCATCTGATGAATAGCATCAGGACAGAATAAGCAGAAAATTTGTGTTTTGTTGTTGCGTTCAGGTTTTTTTTTTAAAGCATCGGACAAAGAACGCGGCCCAGGGGAGCCGGACGCCCTACGGTAGCTGCATGGGTGTTTACACTTGTGACTCAACCGCTTGGGACTGGAATATTGTGCAAATTTACGGCGACCAGCTTAATTCCTTCCGCTCATGGGCCCTTGTGCACCTTATGAATCATATTGGAGTGGCCAAAGGCGTGGACACAGACAGGCAGCGACGGGTGACTGTGTGAGGGCATGATGAAGTGCATGGTTTTTCACTTGGGCATGCATATTCCTAAGTAGCCTGACTCTCGTGCCCAAAAGGGATATTGTTTGTCATTTATATCCGTCTTTCCGCTTGGGCATCAGCCATAAAATCGGCCGCTGGGGAGGAGCCGTAGGCAGTAGTCCGGTGCTCCGTTGTTTTCCCCCTTCGTAGTTCTACTTATCTCGTGATCTTCCAGCAACCGTGACACACGAAAACAACTCAGAAGAGCAGCAGGACAAGCCTCTTCCGCTTCGTAGGCCCTCTTCTTGCCTTCCTCTGTTCTGCAGAGAAGTATTATAAGATTGACAAACCTGCTCAAGCGAGGGGCATACATTTATCGCATTCCACCTGAGTCAAAGCATCCATATGCCTTCAAGTCCACATTGCTGGCAGGGCTAAATGCGCCGCCCTCTCTGACCACCCTTGTCTCCCCGCTTCCTTTCTTCCGAAGAAGGGTCCGGCCCCGCGCGAGGGAACATAAGTGGCACAGGAGGGCTCAATTCTTTTATTTTTCCTCCTTGAGGCGTCTGTCTGCCATTTTTTGGGACGCCCCCATTTTCTGCGCATATTTGTATATATATGCAACCCCCCGCGGTGACGAAACAAGTGGGCCTCAGACAGGAGCCTACAGCGAGAAAGAGGAGGAGTGGATACATATTTTTATACAGGAGTATAGAGCAAGGGAGAAGGGAGGAGATATCTAGTGGGGGCGGAATTTAGAGAGAGAGTTCCTGTGCGCAATGTCTTTCGGTTACATTGCCTCCTCTCCGTGGGGCGGCAATGCGGCTGCCTCATCGTCTCCGTCGCAGTTGCCGTCTTCCTCCTCGTCCTCCTCCTCTTCTTCATCTTCCTCTTCGTCGTCGTCCACGTCTCTTAGCCGTTCTGGCTCCGCTGCCGCAGGCCCTTCCAGGGCACAGAGTTACAAGACGGTGTTGCTGGGAGATGCCTCCGTCGGCAAGTCTAGTCTTGTGATTCGTTTCGTGAAAAACACCTTTTCGGATGCTATGGAAACGACCATAGGGGCCGCTTTCTTTGCGCAGACGATCGAAGTGGATGGATCGCCTGTGAAGTTTGAGATATGGGACACGGCGGGACAGGAGCGGTTCTCTTCGTTAGCCCCCATGTATTACCGGGGCGCTGCTGCTGCAGTTGTGGTGTACGACCAGACAAGCGTCACTTCATTTGAGAGGGCGCAGATGTGGGTGCAGCAATTGCAACTGAGTGGCAATCCGGCGATTGTCATCGCCCTGGCGGCCAACAAGACGGACATACCCAACAGGCAAGTAGATCCCGCTGTAGCCAAACAGTATGCAGAAGAAAACGGCTTGCTGTTTGTAGAAACATCGGCAAGGACTGGCCAGAATGTACAGCAGCTTTTCCAGATGATTGCAAGGAGGCTCCCAGAGACAAAGCCCGGTGGGGCCGCGCTCGGAGGGGTGCAGACCGTTAAGCTCACGGCGGACGACGCCCTCCTCAACAAGTCTACTTCCCTTTCTGGCCGCATGGGTTGTTGCAGCTCATCGTGAGCTCAGCCGGAGGAGCTTCAAGCAGGCCTACAGGGAAGCTCAAAGGGTTTGTGTGGACGGAGAAGAGTGGCTTGCTGGGGTTGCAGCGGCGGTCTGCGCTGGATGGGCGTGGGGGGATGGGTGGGAAATAGAGTAAAAAGCAGCAAGGCGGGCGCATGAAAGGCATGGCTACGAGTAATGCTGCATCTAACGCCAACAAAGCCAAAAAGGGCCGAGGTGGCCCTTTGATGCGTTAGCGGAGGCTTCCTGTGGCCCTAGGTTTCAGTCTTAGGGAGAGTAGCCAAGGAGCCGTGGAAACCTTTGTTTACATATGAGGGCCGTTAAGGAACCGTGGATTGTGCACTACCGGTGGCTGAGCCTATAGGTTCGCTAGGAGCCTCTGACTTGGAGAGCTGAAAAAGGGTAGAGTGCCCTTGTATGCTGCCGGGCATTGGGGGCACCCTTGTCCGCCTTTTGTGTTTTTGCAGAAGGGTTAGCCTTGTATCGCCAAAGAAACAGTCAAAAATGTAAATTTGGTGAATGATCGTTGGAAGGTTTGTCTCATGGGGAACCATGGACACCCGCGACCGCAGTCTCTTTGGAGTTACGGGCATCTTTGATAAGGCATTTGCTTTGCTGCACGAATAGACAACATGTACACGAGCGAAGAAAAGACCGACACTGAGGGTATACCACTTAATAGGGTATTTGCGTGTATGCAGCCACGCAGGCACACTTCGGACTACCTGTGTATCGATTCAATCGTGCAAATCGATGTAATACCTAGATTTTTATCATGTGCAGATACGCAGATGCCTAAATTTGCTGCCTGTACATGTACGCATGCACATTTCTTTGCATGCCAATGTGCAGATGCATAGTGCTGTTTCCTGTGGATGCCAAGACCAGCAAAGAACAATACTTATGAAAGCATCAACACGTGCATGACCACGAACTGCACTGTACACCTTCGGTACAGTACGCATTGGAAGTAGTCTGATGATGCATTTCATGCATCATGTGGAGTGGTCGGCGTGCAATATATGTCAAAACAATTTCTTGCTTTTAACTGATGAAATTTCACAACGTCCACACGTGAACTGTGTCTCCAGGCCTTTTAATATAACTGAACCCCCATTGTGTGGCGTGAGAGGGTCTTCTGGGGATCCCCAGGCATGGCCACTTGTACTATTCCTTGCATTTAGAGAAATTGTCTGCTTTACCAGTGGGGTATCCAGCACCACCCTTAGATACATTGCTCCCGTCATCTATGACATTGATGTTTTGCGGCTCTGTTTGCTGTTTATAGCCTGCCAAAAGTGGGCAAGGCCGCAATCTTTCCCGTGTACGGATTTGCAAAATTGAAAGGCGGTAAATACTGCAGGTTCCTGACTGCGGGTGCCTGCGCCTGCTGGTGTTTCCTCCTTGTGCATGGACCTGCAAGGGAACGTCTGCTTTTTGTGCTGTTGGCCTGAGATGCCGCCACGGCGCGCTCTACAGGAAAGCGACTCGAATTGCACTGGGCGTCTGCGTCCCTCACCCCTTGGCCTGCCCGCTGCCCTTCGTCAATCATTCATTTGATTCGTGTATTCGTCTGCCTCTGCTTCCTGTGCCCATATAAGGATGGTCCTTTTGGTCCCTCGGCAATTCCACTGGATTCTCCTAGGCCTCTGACCCTCTTCAGCCTTTTCCTCACGCGTATAAATCCACGCTGGGAGATGCGCTACTCGGCTTACTGCAGGCCATCTGTGGGGTCCCCCAGGGAGGCCTGCCTTCTCGCTGCCCTCTGCAGCAGCATCTGTGTCCCACAAACAGAGAAGCTCCACATTTCCTGGGGTATTTCTTCCCCTCGCAATTACGCAATCTATGCCCACACCCGTCGCAGCCACTCCATATATACCGGTGGGCAGCGCAACCACTTGTGCCGCTGCAGGGGCGTCACAGAAGGGATCTTTGCGCACATCTCTGTTCCTTCCTGTGGCTTCTTCGCACTCGCTCCTTGCCTCTCCGGCATCGGAAGCATCAGCGGGGACCCCGTCTTCGTCTTCAGTGCTGCTCTTTTCCGAAGCCTCCCATTCGGGTGTACAGGCACCCCACATTTTCTCCAGGGGTTCCGCTAGGGGCCCCTCCATAGGCAGCTCACCGTCTACCGGTGCAGTGGCTACCCCCCACTCAGGCGACCATAACGCAGGAAAGCGTACCGGAGGTGGGGCAGCATACGTAAGCTGCAAACCCCACGTTATGACGCGCCCGCGTTTTGAGAGGGCAACCGCTCGGGTGTCTGTACAGCTGACAGCGCAAAGCGGAGTGGACACACGAACGAGGGAGGGGCTGTCTTCTCTAGGGCTGTGGGTCCCATGCCCCAGTTGCCCGTGCGTGTTGAGTCCAAAGCTCAAGGCCTTCCCGTTTTTCGTGACGAAGACGCTGTAGTTAGAGCCGCAAGCCACGGCAGTGTAGAAGCCTCCCTGAAGAGACGCAATGGGCTTCGGAATATTCAGGCAGGAGATCCCCATGCCATCTGCACCCAAGCCCAACTCGCCAAATTCATTGGAGCCCCAAGCAAACACAACCGGACCTCTTGCTTCATCTACATCTTCTTTATCTGCTGAACCATGTTCGCAAATAAAGTCTCTCTCTCCTACTGCTCCACTGACACGTTGTTTCTTTTGCGGTGGGTGGTCCCTCTGCTGCGGTGTCTGTGCACCCCCTGAGCGCCTCCCACTACCCTCCTGGCTACTACTCCTGTAGCCACCGCACCTATATATACACACTGCCAGAGAGAAGTTGCATCCAGCATGAATCGACACAACATCGAACCTTTCAGCATCAATCTTCACTCTAGTAAACTGCTTTTGATCTTGAAAAGTGCCATCTCCCAATTGACCCAGGGAATTTGATCCCAGGGCCCACGGAATACCCACTCTCGTTGCCACCAAAATGTGGTTCAGTCCACAGGCAACAGAAGAAACCGGATGCGGCAGGGGAATGGTGTACTCTATTCGGGGAGGAAGCCGCTTGGGCACAACACCAGAGAAGCAAGGGTCAGGCTCTGCATGCTGCTGATTGTGCTGTTGATCATCATGCTGCACTTCCCGGTGGACGCTCTGTTCCTGTACATGAGAGCTTGAAGCCTGTCTGATAAATACCCTCAGGGAATCAGGGAAGGCCAACACCAAGCAATCCTCGAAAGAGCTAACAGCGGATGCGCTTGGGGTCAAGCGACACCGTTCTGTTCCGTTACTGCTCTCGCATCTGCTGCAGCTATTGTGCTCCTTGGGTAGAATACCGTCAATGCAGGGGTGTGTCCAGAGTGGCTTGAAAGAAAGTGCTGATGTGTTTGACAGGGGGAGTTGAGCCTCTGCAGCGAACAACACTCGACAGGGTTGGGGTTGCTGCTCTCCTTGAGGGGTGCCTGTAGCTCGGTACTCCATGACTTCTTATGGTGGCAGAAAGAGGACAAGGTGCTGAGAAGTAGGGGATACCACGACGCACGTTAAGCATGCAGGAACATCGAAGGGCACGCAGATGAAGCGTCATGGACAGTGAAACAGTGATAAGCTCAGGGAGTAAGGACATGGGGGCAGGAGGAGACCAGCAGTGTTTTCATGCATTGTAGAATCCAAAGAGATGTCAACTAAATGCGGAAAGCCCGCTAACTCAACGTTTACACCCCTGTTTAGAGAAAATAGACTTACATATACGCACACATTCACACGAAATCGAACAATCATAGCACGAATAACCAATGCGGTACAATTGATTGAAATCAATGAAAAAACGAATATAGATGGTATTAGTATTGATAAAATGCTTGGTGGGAACAAAATTGTCGGAGGTAGGATCCCCAACTATTTCTGCTGTAAGGTGAGCGTGCAGCCAACAAGCAGAAAAACAACTGAAAAGGTAGCCGCAAGGGCACATATGACAGCTAGTTGTTATATATTTCTGCACTGGAAATCGAAATGAAAAGGAAATAATGCTTGTTTGGGCCTGGGATATCCTCTCTGTTAGGCTGCAGTGTCTGGGCCCTCTTCCTTAAGGCAAAGGTCTCGTTCATAAGCTAGGTTTTTTTCGCTCTCAGCGCAAAGGGCAAACGTTCGATGGCATGATGTATCTTTTGCAGCTGCACTGGGTTATCATCAATTGTTCAGCGGACACATCAGCTTTTATACTGCTTGTGCAGCTGATACTGCAGCCGTCCATCTTTGGAGGCATCCTGGCCTTGCAACATACAGTTTCAGACCGGCCGCCAAAAAAGATATACACAAGCAAGTGTCCATTATCAGAATGCTTGAACTTGTTGTAGTAGCTGCCTTCTACTGCCAACTCATGTGCTAGCGCGCAATTGCTACACTCGAGTCGTTCATACTACGCTAGTTTTATTTAACTAACTAAAGACTTTCCGAGAAAATCCTATATGGTCTATCTGTGCGTATATTATGTTTACTGAAGAGTCCTGTTAACTCAATACATGAGGACGTTTGGAGAACATAATGAGCCCAATAGGAGACGACCAACTGTTCTGTGCCTGTGCTGTGAATGCTCTGGAAAGCTTGTTGTGAATGCTCTATGTGCTTAGAGGAGTTAAAATAAGCAAGCCATACTTTTGTTTTTCTCCTAATCTTGCAGCTCTGAGGGGCACGGGTAGGAGTAAGGGTGTGATCTCTTGGTGAGCACTCGCCCATTTTTTGGCAGGTTTGTATTGAGTGTGGATTTACGTGTCTTCCTATGCTGCCATTCGAAGCAGCGCTACAGTTGGTAGCACCGCATCGTTTGACTTAGCTCTTCCTTGCTCACCTATTGGCTATGGAGGCAGTCGATTGCCAGCTTCTCTCCAACACTGTTGCGGTTTCTATCAAGGCATTTCCTCTCCCAATAATCTGATTTTCCTTGGTAGCGAGTTGGTAAAAACCAATCTGGGAAGAAAAGTAGACGGTGACAACGCCTGTTGGGGCGGCAGAGGCCGGCATAAGAGCTGAAGCAAGCGCAATAGCTTCTCCGCAGATGCATGGCCATTACTTGTCAGCCGAAAAGGCGTTTAAGGATGCGTCAATAAGGCCATGGCAACCAGAATGTGTCGCAGCGCATGTTCTGGCAAGCACCTGAAGATTACATCAGGCAGTTGAAGATGTAACTACAGAAAACTAGTACAGTTGAAGCCTCCATACCGCTTCTGGAGATTCGGTGTATACCGGGGTCAGCTCAACAGCAAGCTTCGGGGGAAATGACAACCTGAGGAGCGGGGCTTCTATCAGTAGATTAGCGATTCAATAAGTATGGAACTTTGGAATGCAAAAGCCACAGAGTAAGCGAACAGCTTATTTGTCAGTATTCATCCCAAATCTACTCTAAGTTTGACTTCTGGTAGTCTTAGGGTGGGCAGAGACTCGGCAGGTAAACACGCGATCAGTGAGCCATTTGAGAATAATAAAGTGTTTATGGATTCAAACGCAAATGAGCACCGCAACTGCGGTTTCGGATTGAAAGAAAGAACCAAAGCAGGATGTACACCCTATGGGTATCAAGGGATGTGTTTCCAGTCGGAGCATGGAGTCGAACGCAAATGGAAACAAAGCCTGAGGAAAAACGCATGCAAAAGGCCAAGTAGCGTGCACAGCGAGACTGAGCCCAGCAAAAGCAGGAAGCTTGGAGAACAAGGAAGGCGCAATGAAAACGGAAAGCCTCCCATGCATGCTGCGTCATAGTAAAGAAGGCTACACCGGTTAGACTCGCAGCTGAGGACTGATTGCGGGTCAACTCTGCGTTAATACAACTTCGCATCAATAGTTTAAAATTGTCAGCGCTACTGGGCACTGAGTATACAGTGGGTCTACTATTCGAAGAGACTACG